TATGTTAATGTTTTACATCATTTCTTCCATTTTTTAAGACTCAATAGATCAATAGTGTATATATACTATAAATATTGTAGTAGTAGGCATATAGTGAGTAGTATGGTAGGTAAATAAGTATAGTAAGTACAGTAAGTAAGTAAGTATAGTATAAGTAGTAGTAAGTATATAGTTGCGGTAGTAATAATATATATGTATTATTGACCTATTGAGTATGAATAAATTGGAAAAATGGTATGTAGCATTAAGATAAAAATGAAATTGAAAACCAAAAATTTTAAAATTTATAAAGTAAAAATTGAAATCTAAAATTTACAATATAAAAAATTTGAGATTGAAAAATTAAAAAATAAATTTTTGAATTGTAGAGCATATAAATTTTAAACTATAAATTTTCTTGTAGTAGAAGTTAAGAATAAGCTATTATACACAGTGTACTCACGGATTAGAACCTGTAGTGTAAGCGACCACTACAACAGAACACAACACAACACAACACCACACAACACCACACAACACTACCGACTGACCGACTGACTGACTGACCCACTGACCTGCTCACCCATGAAATTACTTCGCTTGCTGATACCGAACTGACTGAAATTTAGGGTTGAGTTTGCCCTTTTATAATCTCGTAAACTGCTGGCCTGAAGCCACCATAAACAATCCCACCACCCCCCCCCCCCCNTATTCCAGAAACTTCTTCCTTGTTTTCCAATGGCGGAAAATCCGAGCTTTGCGGGATTTCAGGAAGGGGTGCATTCCATCACTTTCGGATGCGGCCAGGCGGGGTCCTTTGTTTCACTGAGATGGATGATGGACCTTACGCGTCACTGTAATCAGGATATGGAAATCCCCTGTTTTGTTTCTTTGGCGGTCCGGTCAAGAAACCTCCGGGCTGCAAAACAATGGGAAAGGGGGAATCGTAAACAGGAAAAAGAACACGGAAATAAATTATTTCGTAAACACATCCGTTACAGAGATAAAGCAAAAAAATACTGAACTACAAAGAGAGAGAGGGGGCGGGTGGCAAAGTCCAGAGAAAGTCTCTAAGTGGGTCGAATTTTGGAAAAAAGAACCATCGCAATTACAGTGTTGTAAAAAGACTGCTTCTTCATAATTATCAAAGAAATCTCCCAGAATAACAAATGGACTACATTTTGCAATTTGGAACTATAAATTCTAGCTCAGTTTAAAAACAATGTATGTGCCATTAGTTTCCCAATGCATATGAGTGTTTTTTCATAAAAGCCAAAATTTATAGTTCCAAATTGCAAAATGCAGTCCAAATAGTTCTGGCTTCTCACGAAACAATTGTTAGTTTTGAAGGAAAATACTGAAGGTAAGTTCTAACGCTGTACATAGATTATAAGTAATTTTAAACGTACAGAAGAAGGTGCACGATCTTGAAAACACTGTAATCGCGCTGGTTCCTTTTTGCTAAATGCCATCCAAGTGAATTGCGTAGTTCCACAAACAAAAGCGGTGCGTATCACGATAATATTAATATTATGTCTTGGTGAGGTATGGTATGAATATTTTTCCTTGAAATATTTAGATAGTTTTGATGAAATCGCGATTAAAATTCATAAACAATTTTTTTTTTTTTGGGGGGGGGGCCACAAATTCCCCACGAAATTCCCGTTTTATCTCACAAATTTTGGCAACGTCCGAGGGCTCATAGGATGTTCTTTCGCAATACAAAGTTCGGACTGACGGGATTTGAGTGTTGACTTCAAACATTTTTTCTGCCGATTGATTTTTCTGGCTATCGATGAGAGGTATTCTACAGCTGGGCCTGCTCTCCCTAGATCAGGGTGTCTACAGGTCCGGAAAACCCGGAGATTACTCTTTTTTTTAGGGTGGCTCCAGTGGCGTGGCGTGCTTTGCGATATATCGATTGTTATGCCATTTAAACCTATGGAAAATGATCGATGAACAGGGTGTTCGCTACTAACATCTTAATAATCGATTCTTTACCATACGTTTAAATTGCAAAACAATCGATACATCGCAATTCACGCCACGCCACTGCGTGGCTCGGAAGCAATCGTAATGCGTGTTTTTTAAAGGCAGCCTGGAAAGTATGCAATCTCTTGCGCACTAATTCTTTGTCTTACATCAACGCACGTTTTGCTTTCCTTCTCAATCGTTAAAGTCGTCTCCTAGTAATTCTGTCGCGCTAAGGAAGAACGCCGTATGAGCATTCGAAACTTGCCAAATTTCCTTCAGTAAAATGTTCATTTTTGAGAAAAGTTATGAACATATTTTCTTGAAATTTTCAGGAGCTTTAGGTGAAATTGCTAACAACATAATCTGAATAATTGGGAGAAAAATATTCAAACATTTACTAGGAAATTCGTGTTTTATCAAAGGAAATATGGGATCGCCTGAAGGTTCATACGGCGTTTTTCCATAGCACGCATCGCATCGCTAGCAGTATAGGATCTATGGTTTGTAACCATTGTGTTACACTGCACCGTTCCGAGTCTATCACAAGGGGACTTCAACGCAGGAGTAGAAAAGCAGAAAAGTAGGAAACTTTAGGTGAAATTGCAAACAACATAATCTGAAAAATTGGGAGAAAAATATATAAGTTTACCAGGAAATTCGTGTTTTATAAATGAAAATTTGGCAACGCCTGAAGGTTCATACGGTGTTTCTCCTTTGCACGGCAGAATTTGCCATGGAAGATTCGGATGAACACCGGCTAAAAATAGGCGGATTTTCATCAAGTTCGACACAATTTCATTTCTGTCGATCGTATTAAAAAATTTCCATCGGAAGTTCCAATCTTATCATACTTTTAAGTTTAAATCATCATAATTCGATCAGCTTGAAGTAAAACTCAACTTAAAACAGTGCCCAAAAATAGGGCAAAAATTCCAAATCTGTGGTGAGCGCCATCAGGCATTCCTAGGATCGGGCAACCGATCTTCTCGTTTATCAGGAATCTAGTGGTTGAATTGAAATTATTTTTTTTTTCTTTATTCAAAATATAGAGAACTGCAAAGTATTAACTCTAATTGCTATAACTAAAAATTAAAATAAGACCAAAATTTAGTTCGGATCTTTCGATAAGAATTCCTTGCAGGAGTCTGAATTTTGATAAATATTTTGTATTTAAGTAGAAACTACCGAGAGACCTGAGCACGAGGATACTTTTGGTTCATAGATTGATTACCTAATTACTGAGATACGAAAAAATGATTTAATCCGCTGAATTACATGTGTTGAAATAGGAAATCAAGTTCAGCGAATATTGTATAACACAATGTCTAAAAGGTAGTAGCACTGAATATATTGGCATGTAGGGTGTAGCCAAGTGCTAGAGATAATATTACAATTTTATGAAAAAACACTTACATAAACTTTGACTGAGGTTTTCCGAAGGGCGAGCGCTTCATCGTCAGGGTCACAAAGTACATGTCTCAGGCAAATAGTAAAATCAGGCATTTTGTCAAATGCCTAGGCAAATAATCAAATAAATTAACTTAGATTGAAAGGAGGGGTATCGTTAAGGGCCTTTTTTGGGCCCACCCTGAAATTCCTCAACTCCGCGATTTTTTGGTCATTGAAGGTCTATATTTTACGGAATGCATAATGGTTTGGTCATTTTCGATCTATCCCGGGGTCTACCACTGGCATGATCCGAAAAAAATGGCGCAAAACCACCTAAACGCGAATTGTTCTCGATTTTCCCGAATAACATGTGGCAACGTTGAGCCACAGCGGGAGATAAATACATAAATAGATAAAACATGCATAAAATTCCTACTAATGTGGCCACTGCGTGTGAAAAATATAAAGGTTTCTGAACTCTCGGAATGTTCTTGACGAGGAGCAGCCTCCGAATTCTAAAATACTAGGTTTTCCGTGAATTCAGGCAATAAAATATGGCAACACCGGCTTTTAGGGGGGGCTTTGAATCCAAAAAAGTTTTTTGAGGAAGGTTTTGACCACCCACGTCCATTTATTGTCAAAAAAATTAAACTCTGGCGTAAGATGAGTCGCTTTTTTAAGCCATTTTAAATAACGATGAAAAACAGGAAAATTCTTAAAAGTTTTTTTTAACAATGAGCGCAAAGTTTGACATCAACGAAAATTGGCCAAAGTGACTCTCTTACATCCCTAATGAACATACTTGAAGGAATTTTTTGTCCTCCGAAGGGATCGGTATGAAACAGCGCGTTGAATGCCGAAAAACCCGCATTTTTCGCCAAAATTGGCCTTCAGACCCATGTTAAGGCCAGTGGTAGACCCTGAAATAGATCGGAAATGACCAAACCATTTTGCATTCCGTAAAATATAGACCTTCAATGACCAAAAAATCGCGGAGTTGAGGAATTTCAGGGTGGGCCCAAAAAAGGCCCTTAACGATACCCCTCATTTGCTTTATGAAAAGTAAGAAAAGAAAGAACCCAACAGTAAATGCCATTCACACATTTTCAAATTAATACAGTGAATGTCTACGGAATTTCAGCACCGGTCAATTCGCCATTTATATCAACCCGTTGTTTTAAAACAGAGCAGTTTAATTTATTGTACACTGAAAAAAAGATTGGTAGAATTTACCATTCCTTCGCGCTGTATTTCTCACGCACAGCGTCAATTCTGCCAGAAAAAAGGTAAACGTTACTGGTACAGGTCGTCTGGCAGAATCGACTTTAAATTCACCCTGTGTAAAATACAGCGCGAAGGAATGGTAAATTCTATCTACCTTTTTATCAGTATAAGAAGCTCATTCAATTGTATTGTTTTTTTTTTTTTTTTTTTTTTTTTTTTTTTTTTTTTATGTGAAACAATGAGGAAATACTGACTTATACAGAGAGATGAAGACACCGGATTTACACGTCAATAAGGTACAGGTATTCAGATGGGGAATGTCCCTGAAGAAAAGAAAAAAAAAACAAAAAAAAAAAAAGGTACAGGTATACGTCGTCTAACACACCTTGGATGCACACCAGTTTATGCATGCTTTCTCTTTGTTTCTTTGCAAGGCCGAAGTTTCTAGGAAATTGCACTGACGCAAAAAGCACACTTATCAAGGAGGCAAGAGTGGCGGGCATCCTCCATGTTGACTGCAACTTCAAGTACAACATGTGTCCAACATCTTTTTTGGATCTAATTACATCATAATCAATTTGGTAAAGTCGCACCCTTTTAATTTCCACTTTTGTAATGGAATATTGGATCTCCAACCATTCACATCACATCGAGGGTGAAACTGGAAAAACGTGCACCTATCTCCTTTTCGATGTTCCGAAATCTCCACGCCTATTTCATTTAATTAAAATAGAGCAAAACAACACTTTATTGCTTGACATTTTGTAAGAATACGTTTAGCACAGAAAAAATAATTTGAGAAATAACCTTAAGTACTTTTTCAATTAAAAAATAAATTATGATAAGGAGTCCGCACTGTCGCAAATACTGTCGTGCTAAGGACGAACGCCGTATGAACATTCGACAGTTGCCAAATTTCCTTTGATAAAATGTTTATTTTTGAGAAACATTATGAATATTTTTCCTTGAAATTTTCAGGAACTTTAAATCAAAGTACAAACAATATTCTCTGAAAAATTGGAAGGAAAATATTCTTAAGTTTACCAGGGAATTCGTGTTTTATCGAAGAAGATTTGGCAACGCCTGAAGGTTCATACGGCGTTTTCCCTTAGCACGACTGAATAGGGGTACGCAGTTTTACAGTTTCATAGTCGAGCCGTTTCGTGCTGTATCAGTGCAAAAGGGCTTTATATACAGAATCCTATAAAGCCAGGCTAGCTCCCTTCACCTACCATCTGTGGAGAATGCTCCCTCATTAATGAAGGCTTACAAGTCGCCTTCAAAAGTACTGCTATGCAACGCGTAACAACACCGCCCCGTCTAGATTACTTTTAATGGTGACAGTAAGATCATGCACTTGAATCCGACTCTGATAGGCTCTCTTTGTATATCCAGCTTTACCAATATCAAAGAATGGACCAGTATGCTGTATTGGCGTACTGACTTTATATAAAAAAAAACCGGATGATGTAACCTAAAAACTTTAACACTTGTAAAGAATGTTAGCCTTGAAACAGCCAAGGTTTACCTTAACAACGGCTACTCATTTTTGGAAAATTGTCCAAGAATTAGAGCCCGATAACCTGTCATTTTTCTTTTTGAAAGTCATAATTTTCTAATGTGAATTACAGTAGGTACACGATAATGTGCGGGTCACAATTCCAGTCGCTGAGTTCAAAGTTCATGTTTATCTTAATATGCATCGGCGTTCTGCTTCATCTCACGTCATCGGCTTATTGCGATGACTCAAGGGCTTTGGTCTACACACTAGGTGGGGTCATTAAGGTAGGTAAAGCATCATGCTCTTATCAAAATTGAACCTAAGCATTTATTTTTAAAAAAAAAAGTGAAATAATTTAATTTGAAACAAAATTTGAGCTTAGATTTTGGGTACCACCTTGCACACAATTTCTAATTGGACGTATTTCTACCAAACAGAACTATGTGCGGGTGTGAGAGGTTGGGTGTGCTCGTTAGTTCTCGGGCGGTAAGAATGCATGGGAATAATAAAGTGCCAGTGACGTCAGCGGCAACGAAGCCGTCTCCGTTGTCGCCCTTTATCCGCTTTAACTTATGAGCCCTGTCCACAACACTCTTTTGCCATGTCCACGGCTCATGAGTCCCGCATCCAATTGGCACATTGTTCTATTTGCTGAATTTAAAATCCCGCTTCTCTATTTCACCATTTTCACCCAAGAGAATCATGCCCACCGAACACATTGTTTCTTATCCACCTCGCCACGAGCACACCCCATCTCCCCCCCCCCCCCCCNCTCATATATCTGTTTGGTAGAAATACGTCAAATTGTGTATCCATAAGGCATTATGTAAAATGTTACTCTTGGATTCGTTTTGTAATTCTCGTATCATCATTGCTGTGTTTATGTTTCAGGTTATAGGACATTTCGTCAACGCTTTTTTGTCCGCGCACCTGTTTTTTTCCAGTAATTTACGTCCACGCGTTTTTTCGGCACGGGAGTTTTGGTCCACAAGCCAGTTGAGACCCAAAGTTAATTGGCCCACATGTAAATACGAACGACAATTGCTCACGACGTTTTTGGATGAAAATGTATAATGTCTTGGAAGAATGAGGGTTTGCTTGTTTTTTTGTTTTGTCTGTTTGGTTCAACGGAGAATAATATATAGTTGAGAGTTTTCGTAAACATGGGGGAGCGTTAATTCCACGAGACAAAATTCACTTAAACTCTCTACACCTCTTTGGTGTAGCAGGATTAAATTATCTTTCAAGAAATTCCCAACTTGTTATACCTGAACCGGATCAACCTCCATATTTGCCTCAGCTAAAGGCTCTTAGATTTTTCTTGTGTACGATAAGTATCTTGATTTATTTTTCGAGGAAAGATCTGTACTTTTTAAAGGATGCATGTCATTCTTACGCTCAATTTCGTATAATATTGTGCAACACCTCTGTTGTGAAATAGTTGCTTCAGGCGCCGCTGCACGGCGGGCGGGCGGCCAGTACGAGAGGCTCACTGGCGCCTACAAACCTAAGTGGATACTTCACGCATTGCACAATGCTTGAAGTATCCACTTAGGTTTGTAGGCGCCAGTGAGCCTCTCGCGCTGGTAGCACGCCGCTCCGGTCCGTTAGGCTTTAATATTTATACTCGCATAGTCAGCGTTTTTTAACTCATGATTTTGAAATGTTTGCACACTCAGCATTGATTATTCTCATGTAAATTGATGGGAAAAAATATGTATCAATTTATCAAAGGAGAATAATTATGTAATGTGTGTTTTTTTAAATATTGGTGGTTCCGTGTCAAATTTCATGATTTCCAAAGCACTTTAATTTTTTCTTTACATTTTGTGCTTTTATTGTGCTGCAGCGAGGTGTGCAACCAAACGCTCAAAATGTGACGTATTTGACTCTAAAAGATCGATGTAAAAATGGGTTGGAACTAAAGATTTCGTACTTCTTGGTTTCCCCCCTCTTTTATTCATTTTTGCAGTTTTTGTCGGCACAACTGCGGCTCATTGAGATTAATATCGCTTGGAAAAGGTTTTACAAATATTTGTCACGTTTTAAAAATATAAATGTTTTCAAAATGAAGTAATAATTTCGTAGAGAAAAAATAAAAAAAATAAAAAAAAGGACCTGTACATATATAAGGTATATCGTACATCAAATATTTTAAGGATAGAAATAAAACCAAATATTCACCAATGACAATTTAAAAAGATGATTCAAAAGGAGAAAGTAAGAACATTTCATTTAGAAAATGAACAACCATAACAACACCTCCTTCTCTCTCAATTTCTCATTTCCAAATTGTCAATATAATTTTACATACTGACTAAAATATAATGCTTGGACCAAGTCACTGTTGCTTATTTTACGTGTGGGCGTAAACTACTGGACAAGAAAGGTGCGCCGACAAAAAATCGTTGACAAAATGTCCTGAAACCCATGTTTCACTCATTGAGTCCCTCCGCTATTCTGAATAAAGTTACATATCGACGGTGAAAGTCGGCAATCACATAACTCGTTTGCGGTGTCTGAAAATCTCCGCTTCTACGTCATTTTTTTAAAGGAGAACAAATTGATATTATTTCTTGAAGTTTTTGCAGAATTTTCTTCGCATTGAGAAGAAAAATCATGACAGTTTTAAAGAATTGCCGTTGAGTAGTTTTCCATTTAAAAAATAAAGTATGACAGGAAGTCTGCGACGTCGCAAACCGAGTTATGTGATTGCCGACTTTCACCGTCGATATGTGTATGTTGTGGGGGGGGGGACCCTGGCTCACTCAGGAGAAGTTTCTCGGTTAGAAATATATTTCTTAGAAAATATGAGATACGATCAGAAGGCTTATAATAGTTTTTTTTATTATTTCTTCTTCTGAGATGTACAATATGACAGAATATAACGGACTAAAATATCATATTTTTCTCGTCCACAGATTCTTGCATCCGCTACCTTCACTTATCATTTGATCGGTGCAAAGCGAGAGGAACCCCCGCATTTGATAAAATGGAAAACTCTTATAATTAGATATAAATAATAGGAATGCTAGATATTTTGGCACCCTTCGCGAATGCGTACTTTCTGTGTCCACCGCGACCAACAGACCTTATATTATCCGATTGACAGATGGTTGATGCCTCTGACTGTTGCAGTTGATCATTGGTTGGGCGATACCTCTCGAGTTACCAGTAGGGGTAGTATTCGTCCATAACTATCAGTTCCAGTACAATGCTCTGGACAACGCAACCAAATGGCATACGCTCGGACGTGGTCGTCACACAAATTTCCTGTCCCGCTTTCATATTTTTAATGTATTGGAGAAAAGTTTATCAAGGTAAGACGCTTTAAAACAACATGCAAGTCAAGCAACGGTTGGATATACTGCCGTGCTGAGGAAAAACGCCGTATGAGCATTCAGGCGTTGCCAGGTTTCCTTCAATAAGAATCGAATTCACTGGGAAAATTATGAATATTTTTAATCAAATTTTTCAGACAATTTCGTTCGCAGTTTACTCTAAAATATCTGAAAATTTCAAGGAAAAGTATGCATGACATTCTTCGAAAATATATGTTTTATTCGAGGAAATTTGGCAACTGACGAATGTTCATACGGCGTTCTTCCTTAGCACGGCAGTATAGGGTCCTAGTCGTTTCTGGAATATTTACCTTCCCCACGATGCTCCATTCCAACGCAGAATGGATCGAGTCAATGGGAGAGGTCGGAGAAAATTTGAAAATTTTAAACGCTTATAAGTCCGTTTAAACAAAATTTTGATGTTCTAAAAGTGGTTCCATTGGCTTCCTCGTGGAATTTTACTTTCAGAAGCACTCCTTAAAATTTAAAATATGACGAAATAAACATCATAATTGGATTACGTTTTGCAATAAGGAACCACTATCTCTGGTTCTTCCATAAAAGCATCTTTCTGCATAGGGAATCTGATGGCATATATGTTTTTCCTAAAATGAGCTAGAAATAGTGGTTCCTTATTGCAAAATGTAGTCCAATTAGCAGTTTTAGTCAAAAATTTGATGTCCGACCACTCTGTTTGACTCGATCCAGTGTGCGACGGTTAAACTGCAAAAATGCGTATCACGGTTTAGGTGTTTCGAAATTGCCGTTCCTAGGTTTTATATTTTTTAAAAGGAGACCGAACCAACATTATGATGTCTTAAGGTTTTCACAGAATATTTTTTATAATATATAAAGCGGAATCATCTGTTTGTTCTCAATCGAAATAGATATTTTTGGAGATTTTAACGAACGGCAACAAAAACAAACTGACATTTTTGTAACCTGTTTGAAAATTTACTCTCAATCCTTTTTAGTTTTCTCCTCTTTCTTTCCTTTGTATTTGACTGGAAGGGGGGAGAGGGAGCATGTCAGCTTCCCCCTCCCTGAAAACGGAAAAAAAGTCCGGAATATGGTTCACCAGTGCCTATGAATGTCACACTGTAAAAAAAATCTCTGAATGAAGAAAGAAAATGATAAAATTACCAAGAATTCAGGGTTCTTTTAGATCCCAGTTTTTTCTTGGTAAAATTACCATTTATGGAAATGGTAATTTTACTGAGAAATCTCGGTAAAATTATTGAACTTTCTCGGTAATTTTACTGGACCTTGGTAAAAACGCCAATATTTTTTATCGACTGTGGTAGAATTACCGGGATAAAATGGCAAAGTTACCGAGAATTGATTACCAATAAAAGTGGTATTCTCACCTGGAAAAAACAGTAAAAATACCGGATTTTAGGTAAGCTTACCAGTCTGTCTTGGTAAAATTACCAATAATTGGTAAAAAAAGTGCAATGGTAAAGGTACCAACGGACCTTGGTAAAAACGCCGAGCATTTTTTTTCAGTGCATAAAACAAATTCACTTGTTCTGAAGGGAATCGATGAAACTAATTGTGTTCGGTGGATGTCCATGTTGCATTTGCAATATCTTCGCAGTACTGTCTACTCGACCTTACCGATCGATCAACAAGAGGACGCGTTGATGATAGCGCTCTGATGCAACTATTCGACCACGACGGATGTCCGTGTTGCATTCAAAACATTGAAGGCGTCTTGACCTCCTGCTCACTACCTATAGCTGGGTCGATCGACGGTGACTGTGCCTTGATGCACCCAGAGATCTAGAAGCAAAGTCTGCTTCTAGATCCCTAGATGCACCTATACACGGAAAATATAGGGTAGTCGAACCAGCCACTGGTTGTGACGACTATCCAATTTTTTTCCATGTATGATGCACTCTCACTTTTATGATTGAGCAAAAAACAGTAGTTCTTCGTTGCAAAATTAAGTCCACTTACACGAGAAATAATTGGTATAAGGCTTGGCGTACAGTTTCTATTGCATTGGAAAAATTGTTTAAGCTAAAGCAGCATCTGTGCCTTAAAAGCAAAGAGGTATTTAAAATTGTGCTGCATCTACGATACATACATCATTTAATTATTCTCTCTCATCCAAAGACGGAGGGTAAAATGAAAAAAAATGTTTCGAACTTCACGTATTAATCTTCTGGTGTTTTACTGCAGGAGGGGCCTAGACGGAATGTCTTGCATTTTGAGGGCTATTTGCGAAGTTGCGGAAACGCCTTATTCACACATTGGTCTCATTGGACAGTTAATCGATCTCATATTCAAGTACGTTACATTTTTTTTGTCTTATATTCTTTTGATGATACCTCATTTCGAGAGAAATAGTGGTTCTCAATAATAGTTCACATGCTTGAGGGCTATGTGTGTGTACCTACATCAATGAAATAAAAGATAGATGATAGGAAAAATTGAAGTCTAACACTGATTTGTAAAATAAGTGTATTTTAATAAGAATATTGTTTTTGAAGGAAAAAAAATCCTCTGTTTTTCACCTTTAAATAATAAAATTAGTTTTTTATACCCGATTTTTAGATGTCAAAAATCAATGAGATCCGAGTCGTAAATTTGAGGTTACGTTGCGTTACACCCTTGCCTCTCTAATTTTCTGGCTTCAATTCAAGAGTTATGTGATTTTCAATTTAATTTTTTCCATTATTCGATTTCAGACCCAAAGTACCATCTATTTACCACAGCGCTTGGCTGAAAGGAAGTATACATGGAAATTGCAGCGAGTATTTCTGTCAGAAAAGTTTATTTGACAACTGGAGCTTAAGCTGACATCTTAAAGTAACTTTTTCCAAGCTACAACGTGCATTTTTATTTGTAAATTTTATTTCTAGTGAGTTACAATAATTTGTGTTTATTTTAATCATAGCTTCATTTTTTTTTAATTCAATGAAACCAACAAATCCACATCTATGTTGCATATTAGTTTTAAAATTTAAGGAGAATTTATCCTCACCCGCGGCGCTGCCTGCTGTTTGTCAAATTTTCGCTCATACAATGGTTAATAAAACTATACAAATGGTGGACAACGAACGCTTAGTCCAACGTTGCTAAATATATAACTAACCATAAAACCTTCTTTTTAAAACCATTATGAATAATTAAAACCAATAAACCATCGAAAGTAGAATTGCATCACGTTTTCATTTTTCGATCGATTCATGTCGATCGAGTCAAAACCTTTCTGTCCTGGCACGAACCTGGTTTAAAATGTAGGCTTGAGCAGGAAAATATATTTTGAAAAAGAAATACTAAGAAATTGTTTAATTGATATCCTATAAAAAGAGTACAAATTAAGAAGAATACTTATTGAGGGGCTCAAGAAAATGTTTGGATAGTATTGAATTTATTCTATCGAGAGTAATCGCCACACTTATAACACTTGCACTGGTCTGGTTCTCTCAGCTTGATGTCCATGGTAGCCTTGCCTTCAACAGTTATCCTTATCCCATCTGGATCGTAACAGTGATCGAGGGTGATGACTCTCTCTCTAAGATAACTTTCTCTGCAGCAAAAGCATTCCTAAAATCAAAGCGAGAACAGTTTTCAGCCTTCATGCAATTTTTCTAGTATGTGAATCACTGGAGGACCCACTTCTGATTGGCTCAGCCATCTTATGATTTATGAAAAAAAGGCGAATATTACATGGAAATTATCCAATGTGGCAGAAAATGATGATTTTTTTGCCTCATTCACGTGAGCCTCACTCAAATGTTGTGTACATTGCGTCCAAATATATTTTTCCAAGTTGTTCCACCTGTTCTACGGCAACGCTTGCACTAAATGCAACACGTGAAACTAACAGTCAAAGGTTAGAAACAACACAGAAAAAAATGGATGATGCTGACGACAGAACCCTCTGTTCACAGGGCTCCTGCAGTTTCTTTGTTACACTTACAGAACTTTTCTGTTGTGAGAACAGAACTTTGGTGGTGGGAACAGAGTTGAACTCTGGGGGAAGGGTGGAACTCTTCCCACCACCGAAGTTCTGTTCTCACAACAGAAAAATTCTGTAAGTGTAACAAAGAAACTGCAGGAGCCCTGTGAATAGAAGGTTCAGCCGTCAGCATCATCCATTTTTTTCTGTGAACTTCCTCATAATCCAAAGTCACGTCTTTTCTCTTTTTTTCTTTTTTTTTTATTCTGAGGGTTTTCACGAGACTCAAGAACGAAGCAAGTCATCACATTTCCCTTGCAAAAAGTACCTATTGCCTTATGAACAGGGGTCTGGAAGCCGAACATGACAATTTTGCACAGCCTCTCTGAATTTAAAGTCATTTTTCGACCTAGTGCAATGGAATGACATGATAATTTTTCAGATAATTGACCTCTTTTTACGCAAACTAACGTATCCAAACCGTTTTGCACTTCTCTGTGCTCTGGTTAAGCTTACTTTCAAACCGCATTTACGGTAAGTCTCACCAAAGGGATTAGATGACCGTCAAAAACGAATTATTTTTGTCGAACACGAATCTTGTATTATAAAAAGGTTATATCAAGGTTTACAGAATTTCATGGTGACTCGGATTTCAGTTTCAGGGTGAAGTCAGTTTATGCTCCCAACAACGCAAAACCTCGACTTACATATTTAAGCTTGCCATGATAGAAGAAAAATCATATCCATTAGTGGCCACTTACCTCAAGAGAATTTTACATTCATGATGCTAAGATGTCATAAAACTCGGCCCCCCCCCCTCAAAATTTTTTCTACTTTGATTGTGGTATGAAATGAACACAAACCTTGAGGAATCCGTTTGGAGTGGCAACGCTTGGTTGAACTTGGGAATTGCAGGCGCCCTCGCATTTGCTCACCGCTACATCTCCATTGCAGGTTCTTTGAAGTCGACCGAGTTCATCGAACTCCTCTGCGCAAACGGAAAGAGGGACAATCAGTTTTGAAATTCTGGACAGGTCAATTTTGTAAGTCTTAAAGCTGAATTTTCATGGATAATGGAACTCTTGCGCAATTCTTGCATGCCTCGTGAGCGTCCAATTAAGGTACTTTTTCCGTTTTAAAATATTGCGAGAAACACGATGGTGCCACTAGTTTTCTTTAAAACGAACTCCCCAGCTCAAATGGAACTCTCGAAGTTGAGGTAAGCTTGATAGACTCATTTATGAAGATTACAGTGATTATGAGACTATTCACGAGACGACAAAAATTGGGTTTACCAGTCAAAACTAAAGGAGTTTTTTTGGGCTCTATTTTGGTTCAACCCATGAAGCTATGGTTTAGAAAATCTGTTGAGGTCAAACGAGATTAAGGAGAAAAGGATAATATTGAGAGCCTCCTTGCCGTACTTGTTCCTTCCTCTTGAGTCTTTTATAGGGTAAAATCTCATCGGTGGCATAAAACGGTATTTTGCATGTCGCCTGCTGGTTTGATATACGATGGAATGATAGAATGCCTTAATTTTTTGTGTATGCAACACAAACATCCGGTAAGCAGGATTAGTTGTATCCACGACATCTAGGCGCTTATGAGCATTGCTTCGCGTTTAGTGGCCAAGGTGTTTAACGACAACGAAGTCACAGAATGTGTCACTCATGACACGTTAGACAAAAATATAACATTGCACTTTTCCATAGTTGAGAAATTGTTCTAGCAGAAAATTGAGCATAATAAATGATGTTGGTTTAGTTTGAACCACAGATTATTTCTCTGAAATTCTGTACCTATGTATTTTTTAGAAATATGTTAATAGGCTGTTGCACGATCAAAATAGAAAAAAATAACCAAATGATTAAATCTTTCTTGTTCTTTTGTATAGCACTACTCTGATGTCCAATTTTAATGAAGTTTACCTTTAGTGATGTGAATTTCCGAGGGCAATGTTTCACACTCCTCTTCATTGCTACATTTGACCATTAGAAAGGATGCCCACAGCACTATGGAAGAGATTCGCATTTTGAGCCTGAAAAGTAATTGCATCTTCAATTTAGATTAAAAGTAGTGGTACTTTGACGACAGGTTAATTTAAATTTCCAGCAATCAATGATGGTACAACTTGAAAATCATTTCGATAAAAATTGTATTCTTTATTAAATGTTTAAAACACGACTCTTTCTCCTTGATATTTTGATTACATGCTAAGTCTATAGCAATTACCAGTATAAAACTTACAGAGTCCTGACCTGTCATTTAGAAAATTATGTTTTTGGAGCATATTGATAAAAAAACAGAGTTATCAAACTAAAAATGTATGATAAAATAAAATCTATTTAGATGAGAAAAAAATATAAAACTGCGTGCATGCAAATTCATTTTTAGGACTCGACCAGGAAATAGTTTGAACACTTGAGGTTTTATAAAATAGGTATACCGTGTTTTATACCGACCATTCCAAATTTCAGCGTACTTCAGATTACTTACTTCTATTTTTATTTCTAGTTCTATTTTATAACGACATAGGATACCATTAGACTAGCCTATACTGTGGAGAGAGCATCCTTTATTTAAAATAATAGTGCGGTTAAAAAAAGGTGTAAAATAATGGTTCAGAAGTTTAACTATCCTTGCGCGTAAGGCATTTTGCCTGTCCCACTAATTGAAGGCATTCTGCCGTATCTCATCTCGCTCTCTGTTAATTGAATGAATTTTGCTTTTCTTTTTGTTATTTTAGAGAGCCTGTTTCGCACGAGAAATTAACCCCCCAGAAAACTTCTTATCACTCTTCTTGTTTACGCAACTACTATTTTAATTAAAAATCAATTTAACTTTATTCAAAATCTTATTGTAGCTGAAATTGAGAACATTCGACCATTAATTTTTAAGCATACGATAGGTAAATTACCGGCTTATAAACAGTGAAATTTTCGAAAAATATTTTAAAAAAAGATAAACGCGTTCTTCTTTTTAACCTTAATATTATACTTCACACAGAAAAAAAAGGATGGTGCTGACGACAGAACCTTTTGTTCATACGGCTCCCACAGTTTCTTTGTTACACTTACAGAACTTTTCTGTTGTGAGAACAGAACTTCTGTCGTGGGAACAGAGTACTCTGTTCCCACGACAGAAAGTTCTGTAAGTGTAACAAAGAAACTGTGGGAGCCGTATGAACAAAAGGTTCTGTCGCCAGCACCATCCATTTTTTTCTGTGCATTGGTGTAAAAGGGGCATTTTTTTAACAAGATTTTTTATGACGGTTAATTAAAGATGGGTACTTTTGAAATTTCATAAATGTTTCAAATTTTATCTATTCTGAATACTATTTTTTTTTTAAAAAAAAAAAAAAAAGCCGTTCAGTAACTCTGCTGCTAGAGAGATCTCTCTCCCGCTCTAAAATAAATATATAAATACATAAATAAATATATAAATTAAAACTGTTATCGAATAGTGAAATAATTATCACTCACATTACTTATTACAACTCGTGATAAAAATATAAGTTTCGATCAAAATTGTAGTACTCACTTGTTTTTGATGGAGTGCTGCGGGTGAGCCGTGGGTGGACTTCGTGAGTGAAAAGGACGTAAGGGGTGACTCCTGCCAACATCCTTCCCTCTTCCTCCACATTTTCTCGCCTCTCTACGCATATTCTGACTCTCCCACCCTCTATGAACATGGTCACGAATTTTCTTCTCAGCCAAATGGACCACACAACAACACAAGAATTGAACCACGTTAAGCAGAAAGGAGCCAAGCTACATTAACTACCGCCAAATATAATTGGGCAATTTAATTTTTTACATGAAATCGGTCGTGCAGATTTTTGTGCAAATTTCATATCAGTGAATTTTCTGCATAGTGTGAAGCAAATTCCTTGTAATTTTCGAAAGAGTTTGCACAAACGTTCTCTTGTAAGAAATTAAATTCCCCAGTTAAAATTGGCAATTGTCGATGTGTGGCTTGGTTCCCTCACTAAACGCGGTCCAATTACACGTCTAAAGGCATATGCCTATATCACAACGTTAAGCAGAACACGTTGAATACATCAAAAATTCCAAAATTAAATCATGAGAAAAAAACTATATTTTGTAGCTTACATCATAATTTGTGATTTGTGCATTCAAACTTCTCGGTAGTTAAATAACCAGTGGCGTGGCGTGAATGATCGATTATCGATATCTCGCCATTTGAAGCTATGGTAAAGAATCGATTACTAAAGCGTTCGCTGCGAACACCCTGGTAATCAATCTTTTTTCATAGGTTTGAGTGGCATATCAATCGATATATTGCAAAGCACGCCACGCCACTGTAAATAACCTTAATCAACGTGGGCCGAATCAGTTATTTAAAAACAAACTTATAATTATTTCGCAAAAGACTGGAATATCGTCACACACACGTACATCCTTTTACCCTGGTGGCCCGCTCCTCGGCAGAGAGTGCGAATTGTTGATACAATGGATCGTATTCGATAGTGCTTCGATGTATCGTTTGGTTAAAAACAGTAAAATATAATCTCAAACAAAAATTTTTGATTTAAGTTGGAGAAGCTGAAAGGCAGAAAATCCCTAACAATTTCACTCCCCCCCCCCCATTTGGTACTCGAAAGAATCAAAATTCTATCACAAAAGACCCGTCCCCTCAGATTTTTAAATTGACTTTTAAGGCTATGTTTGCTTGTTGAACCAATCGATATCGATACAATCTTACCTGTTTGATATATCGAATACGATCTATTATTTCGCCTCCAGAATGTAGCTCAAATTGTAGAATCAATGATACTGGATGAGAAACGAATTTTGCACCCGTCGTAACACTGGTGCATGAATATTCTATTCTGTTGACTTGCAGGAAAAATCAGAAAAGTATGATGTATGTATAAATATCTCCTTCAGTGTTAAGTCCTTAGCTTTTTAATGCATAAACTGGTCTCCACGTAGTTTTAAAGAAAAAACTGTTGAGAGACTTGAAATTCTCAAATAGAGAGAAAAAATCGTGTTATAAATACTTTTACACTAGAGTAGCTTTTCCAAAATCTCATACGATTCTACCTCATACGGACCTCATATGCTCCGCTCTATATGCTGCCGATGCGATGTGGTCAGATTCGGGAATTGAGTAGAAAACGTGGCCCGATTACGTCTTCACCATCTTCGACTGTGTTGTTCACGCATCACTACTACAAATAAGATAAATAGAACCAACATAACATGGAAATATAGAGCAAGGAAAAGTTAGTTAGTTAGTTAGTTATTATAATTTTGAGACATTCAGCGACTCAGGCTATTAACGTCTTTACAGGTAATTTTGAAAATATATAGGACCCGCGTTGATGACGGTGTACATACATATACAACTATTATTCGTGCTTGATGGATGTCCGTGTTGCATCTACAAAATTGAAGGCGCGATGTCATGAGGCGTGGTGAACTCGTAATGCTCAACTCTATGCTGCATATAAGGTGAAATTGGTCTTTTATTTTATTTTCAGTGACTCAAGATTATAAATGAACTAACTCTTAAAAGTCACATATGTATATTATTAATTATGGAACCAACTGTAAAATGAGATCATAATATATATACTCCTTATGAAAATAGTGACAATAGATTTGAGAGAGGAAAATCGGCAGGAAAAGTTACAATAATAAACTTTCAAAGTTTTACCGTTTTATCGATGGCCGTGAACCGATCGACATCGATTCAACCGACATATTATTAAAAGACCGGTGTCGAATCGATCGATTTACGAGTTTTTCGATAAATTCACGTTTTTACTTTTTGATCGGATCCATACCCTCCGCTTAATCGTGTTCATACTCTACGCCTCGAAAGGGTTCATTGATCAAATTAACGTCGTTTTGCAATTAGAAAACACACTTTCTGACTTCTTTTAGGAATCTATACTATAAGCTCCGAGACCTCCTAATTTTGCGTAACTGGTGACGCTTAGTTCCAGCCTTCTACCGGGCCGATTTTCATGATTTTTGCGGCAATCGACGGGCAATTGTCCCTAGATTAGCCAACTCTTTTCAGATTTTCAAAATATGAACCAGGTTTTTTTATATTACGTGGTAAAGTTGCGAATTCTCCCATTTAAACAATGTAAATTTATACTTTTTGTCATAGTTCGTTTGAGCGTTCTACCGGGCCGATTTCCATGATTTTTGCGTAGATCGTCAGGTAATTGGCCCTAGATGAGCCCGCTTTAATTAGATTTTGGAAATAGGACCCAGGTTTTTTTAAAATCACGTTATACAAGTGAGTAAATTTACAGAATGCTCCGGGACTGCTACCGCCATGCGCGGGAGGATGCGCAGTGGTCGAAGAGGTTGCGCAGTGGATGTGTAGCCTGCGCATCAACTCTACACTTATCTACACAAGATTCGCACCAATGACCTAACGTCGAGCGATGGCCGAGTCGTCTAAGACGTCGAAAGAATACAGTCTTAACTCGGTGTGGGTTCGATCCCCGATTTAAGTACTTTAAATTATTACCCCTGTTCATTGTTTTACTGCAATATTTCATCAAGCAGTCATTCCAAAACGCGTCCTTTTAATTTTAAAGTAATTTTAGGTGAAGTTTAAAATTAAAGTATATCTCATATCGTAATTTTTTAGGGGGAAAATAAAACTAAAACTGATAGGAGGGTAAAAATAGGGCCGCGAAGCGGCCCATTGATGGCGCGGAGCGCCTTCGGGGGGTTGGGCCGCGTAGCGGCCAGGGGGCGTAGCCCCCTAGTAACTTATAAGTACCGTTAGTTTCCTTATGCACACAAGAGTTTTTATAGATAAGCCAGAAATCGTAGTTTCAAAAAGCAAAATGTAATCAAATGATTAAGCCATTACATTGCTGGACAACGAAAGAGCCTACACGTATATAAAAGTCGCTTCACTTGCATGCTTTTATTTAAAATTATTTATAAAAATATGTAAATGAGGAGAAGAAAATTATTTGGGTTTTATGTAATGTTTTATCATTTGAAATGACAATAATTCCTACAAACTTTACAAAAACTTCAAAATCATAAGTTGAAAACCGCAGATGCCGCAAGTTTGAATAATCACATCATACACAGTGCGGCCGGCGCGGAACGTCTAGTAGCGCCTTACAAGACCGCAGGATACTTCATGCATTGCGCGTACAGCACGGTGCGCACGACGCATAGTATAGCGCCTTACAAGTCTGCAGGATACTTCATGCATTGCGCGTACAGCACGGTGTGCGCGACGCATAGTATAGCGCCTTACAAGTCTGCTGGATACTTCATGCATTGCGCGTATACCACGGTGCGCGCTCAAGTCGTTGATAAGCTTTATTTTCTCGGTGTCGAACCTATTCCGGTGTACACAATTTCTGAACAATGTACATTGCGAGCTTGCAATCCTAGGATTACAGAATTAGAGAGTTTTTTTGCAATCCTGTGTGTTTTTCGGTGGAAATATAATTTTCCCCGGTCGCTTCGAGGAGTCAGTCTGCTTCTGATCTTAATTATTGTAGATTGTAGGGATTCAGAAATTTGGATTTTTTTTAATATATTTTATTTGGATGAATTTAAAATAATAGAGAAAACAGAACGAAAATATCGGGTCGATATTTCCTTTGATTTTGCGTACAGCCAGACCTGATTTCTATATTTTTGAATGGGTTTTGTGCCAAATCTTATGGTACGAGTTTTATTTTTTCGTGTCTCTTTTTAGTTCAAAAACAGTTAGGTTATTGTAAAAAGAAATAAGTTATTATTTAGAAAATCTGCCACTTTGTAGAATCTTTTAACATTTTTAATGTGTTTTAATTTTTAATTTATGAATTTGTGGTTGTAGTCTGTATATCATAACCACTTTTTAACCTTTTTTGATTGTTCGTTCTTTTTTCCTTTGATTAAACCCAGATTAATTTTGCGTGGCTCGAGTTTCTGAATCATTGCAATAACGATACACGTTTTCCCTTTAATCAATCGTCAAAGGCAAAGGATCAAGAGCGCCTAACTGATTTCACACTCTACATCAAAACGAAATCAAAAGCGTGCCTACTTGTAAATATGTAAGGCACGCTAAAAACGAGGCCCAAATAGAATACGTCTTTCCTATTTTCGGCTGTGTTCACACTGGATTTTTTTCTTTTTATCAATTTGATGTCTGATTTTTCTGTTGGATGTATTATTAACTTATATCGAAATCTCATTTTTAATGCCACCATAACTCCCCCAGAATAGATACTCTTTCACTCAGCAGATTTCCTTTTCTTCCCGTGCGACCAGCTATGAGCGAGGTAAATTTGCTGGCAACTGAGAGACATAAAGAACTTACACTTGCAGGATAACAAATCTCTCCGAGGGATAATCGACATCTTGAGTAAATTTTGCGTTAATTATTGTCGGCATCGAATATTCCGGCCGTATCTGAATCGACTGCGCTAATATGATGGCGGCCGGATGAGGGATGAGAATCGATTCTGAAAGGTTTACCATGTCCTCACAGCTTGAGCTTCAGCCGTCAAGAGGGTCAAACGGGCGTCGGTTGCGTTTCCCACAAACCGCTACTGTGACATTCATTCTCTCTCCTTATATTATAGTAAAATCAGGCGCTTTCTTTATTTTATTTATTTTCCTCCCCTCAAAGTATGTCCGATTCAAAATATAAGAAACGGTCCTGGCAGCATCTTAATATTTAATTTGAAAAATAGAATGAAATTGTGAATCAACCACTGTACTAATTGCGAGGGGCGTTGGTTCATTTGAAAGGTGTTGTTCTCAATGCTTCGGGAAAACTATAAATTATTTTCTGGGGTTCGTCCCCGATTTTTAAATCCCTAAAAACTCATAAATTGGATGAGGGGAAGTGGGGGTTTTTTNACAAAATTTTAGTTTAAAGTTTACTAAATAAAATAACAATTTTTGAAAACATTTGTTATATTTATTCTCTCAAAAAAATAATTAGACCCGATTCAAAGACAAAACAGAAAATTAAATGAAAATAAATAAAAAAAAAAAACCATGTGAAAGTGAAAAGTGTACAGGAAAAATAAGGGGCTGCGAAGCAGCCCCATAAGCCCCTAGTTTATCATTAAATTTGAACTTTAATGTTCAGAAGAATAAGGTATAGGTAATTATGTAATGCACCGTAGAAAAAGTTATAAAAATAAATCGTCATCACAATATTGTTAAATTCCGAGAATCATTCATGCTAGATACAAATTAAACTGTCAAATATGCAACAAAAAAGTACTGAAGTATGTTTGAATTTGTAAAAAAATGTGATTAAAAACTAGTGAAGAATTAAGGTGGCATTTTTAGGTACTTAAAAAAGAACAAAATAGGTTTCTTAACTTTGATGATCTACAAATTTTCCCTTAAAATTTAAAATTAGTTTTTTACGTTTTTCCCACAGCCATGCTACTAAAGAGTTTTCTTGAAAATGCGGTTTTTTCTTGAGGTCCCGTCTGCGTTAAAATCTCTTCTATCCTGCACTCGGTTAATTTCAGTTGTTTTAACGTATTTGTGTGCCTGCATAAAAAGTCGTTCCAGTATTACTTACCAAAGCAATTTTGGCCGAATTTTTATCCCATTCCTTCCTCCTGTAAATCACTAGTGAAATCAAAAACCAATCTTTCATTTACCTAATTCCCGGTCTGACTCCCCTCTTTTCCTTGTAAGACCACGTAAGCTTAGCGTCAGGTCCTCTCCCTCCATAAAAGGCTACGCATTACTTGATTGACTTTTAATGGGAGAGCAAATTCCCTATGGCAGAAAACCAAGAAACCAGAAAACCGTTGTTTGAGACCATCAAACTCGGGCCTGCTGGCCGGGAGTCGAACCCGGGACCTCCGGATCATTGAGCCAGCACTGAAAACTACACCACAAGTAGTCCATTGTCTACGCAAAAAACCCTGCACTTTTTTATAGACCGACACCGAAGAAATAAGTACCTACAATTCCCGGTTAAGAGACCAATTTGTGGACCCACAAATTGTGTGTTAAGATTTCAATTTCTCAATTTCATATTTTTTCTGTGGGCTCCTCGCGATTTTTGTGCAATCCCCCAGTGTATGTCCCTATGGGACATTGCCCCGTCCATTAATTCTATATTTTTGTGTGTGTTGTAACACACCTATTCGTGTCATATCTATTCTATTCCTCAGAGAGCACAACGATGACGATGGAATTATGAAAGAAAACAAAAAGAAAATGGAGAGCTTTGGCTTGAAATTCTCGGCGGGAGTTGAGCTCAAAGGTCGTGCTGTGACGGTTTGCTTGGACAACGGGGAGAGGGGCTGGGGTGCAACGATTTTAAGAGTCACGATGATGTAGACTGGGGGAGGGGGGGTAGGCGGCTCCGATTGGTTGGCTCCAGTCTGTCAGACATTTAAGTACTTTTTCATGTAAATACGCGTGTCCCGCTTGTTCGCTATCGTTTTTAGCCGTTATGAAGGGCTCACTTTAGTCGGTAGAAAACTCACTGGTCTCGAATGAGAACGACTTGCACTCAGTTTCAGATATCGAATATTCTTGATTTCAGTCCGAGTCGATCGAAGTATTTTTTGACCCCGATCTCCCACGATGTAGAGTTTGTAAATTTTGACTTATTTATGCTAAAAGGAACTATAAGCGTAAGCTTTGCGTGCAATCTCAGCATAAATACGTCCATTTGTTATTAAAGAGGGCTAATTTTTTACTTTTTCGTATACAATCGCTCTGAAGGATAAAACCTCTGCCTTATTTCATGGGGTTGAAGGAATGATTGATTTCGTTGCTAATACAGTGACAGACAATGATCTCATCCAAATAAAATAAAAATCAATTGAAAATTTTATGTAATGAAAAACACTGAGATAGTCCACTCACGATCAGTCAGAATGGATTTGATTTTGTCAGCTTTCGATTATTTAAATCTTCTTTATTTTGGTAAATATAGGTGGACAAAATTAGCTTTCAGGGTATGATAAACTGTGTTACTACTAAATGTATCGCCACTATGAAAATTCTTTTTAAATGTTCCCTTTTAAAAACTGTATAGTTTTGGCTAAAAAAAGCTATGGCTCAAAGTATTAATCAGTTTAGATGAAGTGATTTTCATCGATCAAGAAAGACATGAAGCCCATAGGCGTACAATTTTCAATTTTCTCCATTTCGCTTTCCATAGCTGCCTTCACGGTGTGATTCATTGAATAAATGAGGATCTCTATTGCATTGCAAGATCTGTTTTTTGTACAAAGATTTCGAGAGCTCCAAGACCTTTTTGAAAAAATAAAGAGAAGACATCACGTCAAAACGTCTTACCCGGATCGACGAATTTTTTCGCCCTAAGTTCTAACCGAGTGGAAGTAGAACTTTAAAACAAATTTTCCGAGCTCAGGCTTCAAATATGAGGCCTTACATGTAACAATGGTGGATGTAAAAAATTACTTTTTCGAAAAACGCTTAAAAAACTGTTTTGGTCACACAAAAATTTGTTGTTTGGCTCTGGCATAATGTACAGATCTTATAATTTTCTCGATGCTAAAACAGATTTTTGAACATGTTTCGAGAAGGTAATTTTTCACATCCGCCATTGTTACATAATCCCTCATTTGTATATACATTGAGATTCTGTAAATCACATTAGTGTTTTTAGAGATCTTTTAAAACATCTTTCAAGCGTCATTGTGCAGTTTGGCGATCACTTATGGTTGATACCATCTCAGATCCGCCCTCTGCCTAGTCGTAGCGATACATCGCTTCATGACGGAAGTTGAAGTTGGAAGGTCGAAAATAATCGATTATTCGGGTCGATAATAATCGATTATTCGTGTGACTTTGGGTGGACGGTTGGAGTCGGCGCGCTGAGCCGTTGGGGGCAACTGGTGGTGGTCAACGACGAAGGACAACCCTAGACGTCTACTCTCACGGATCGAACCTCTGAAGATCCTACGCGCTTTCCAAATGAAATATTTTTACATCCGTTTTCAGCCATCATTTTAAAACACTTCCTTCGAAAATCCTCTTTTTTGCATGAGTCTCCAAAGTAGAGAATATTTATCTTTTAGAGTTTGTGACATTTTTAGTTGAAAATCCACCGCCAATTATGTTCAGGAGCTGGAACAGGACTTGTGAGTACTGCATGTCTCGCCATATTTTCATGATCGGTATCTTGTTGATTTCCCACGCTCTTACCGTGACTTACTAATTTTGATACAGTGAGGATGGAATTTGCAGAAATGTGCGGTTTTATAAAAAATATTGCAGTCTAAAAATTGTGTGAGGGGATTTCAGGATTTCAAATCGAATCGCATCTAACACAGCTAGGTTAGGTAAATTATAATTTGAAAAAAAAGTCATAAAAATACAGTTTTGTCCGAAACAAAAAAATATACGGAGAGTAAACTACTACATTTTTTGCGAGATTTCGAATGCAAGTCATTAAAAAACTTTAATTAGACTGTAATGGGGCAATGACGAAGAATTTTTCGTGGGGTTGTTGTATAGTTATTCTCAAACAGGATTTTGCGGAAAAATCACGAAATTAATTGGAAAGTGCAAAAAAGCATTTCTTAGTCGAGAAAAAGCTGATCAAAATTCGACCAATTATTGACAGTCCAGTTAACGATGCCTGGAGCTGCATTCAGCTTACCAGCAAATGCAGATTCCTCCGCCTGGCTACGTTATCAGAGCCCGCCAAAATATCGTTTCAAACAGGTCCCATTTTTATCATTTTAAAACGGGGTTTCATTGCTATTTAGGACTAAAAAAATTGGACATATTCTTGGAAGCTTTGTTCATAATACCGTACTTTTAGAATACAAATTTGAAAAATGGGTGTTACAGACCCATTTAGGCTCATACAGGGAAATCTGGGTAGCAAACACATCATACCTCACGAAATAGACTGACGAGCTTTCATTCAAAAGCAAACTTTTCGAAATTGTATTTACAAGGAAGTATATTGACACAGTAAAACTTCCAAAACACGTAACTCGTTTGAGGTGTTTTAAAATTTCTGGAGACATTTTGTTGTCCATCTTGGTTGCAGAAACAGGAACTGTTTGGAAAAATGGAGGTAGCTCTATTACTCAGCCGGGTTTAAATAAATAAATAAATAAAAAAAACGCTCAAGGCGCAGACATTTTCAGATGAGTTCCGACACTGTAAAGCTTAAATTTTTTCAGCATTATTTCAGAAAAATCTAAATAAACAATCAACTCTCCATGATCTCTCCAACAAATTTTTCTGTGATAATTAGCCATAACTGCCATTCCCAGAAAATATGCGATTCTTTCATTCTCAGAGCATTTTTTTTCCTTTTTTAACACGAACTTTGGATCTACAATCAAATGCAGAAAAATGTCTCACGTGTCATTAAGGATTTTTAAATCTTTTGGGTTAGTTTTAGTTTGGTGGCTGTGTCTCGTTTTGGACGGTCTGGTTTTGGGGCAAGATAGTCCCCGTGTTGTATCGGACGAATGCACAGTGACTCCTGTTCTTCATGTTCTCCAATATCCTGGATGTGTTCCTAAACCTATACCATCCTTTGCCTGCACCGGTCGTTGTTCCAGTTATATTCAAGTAAGACCTGCCTCATATCTGCCTCTAAAGTCCTATTCCATTTATTTGAAACATTTCGCACTTTGGAATCCACCCCCCCTCCTCCCTCCAAAAAACAAATATATCATTCATCTGAGTGCAAACTCTGTTTGCTGTTTAGATTGTGACAAAAAACCTCAACGCTACAGTTAAAAGTCAGTGTTTTCCGAACAAAAAAACGTAAAGTACATTTTAACTTTGCAAAATTCCCACTCGAAAACTGGATTTTCTCTGAACGGTTGTTGGAAATTTCTGAGGAAAATTTCACAGATTTTTCTTTTTTTTTGCGCAAGAAGTTATGTAATTCATGTGTTGTTCCTATTGTAGTATCGTGAAAATTATCACTATGTTCAAGGATTTTTCCCTTTGACGAAGAAAAATTATCAAATTTGTCATTCTTGAAAAACATTGAGTTCTTTGAGTTAGTTGGCAACCTTGGAATCGAGTCACGTTCTTTCATCCGGAAACGACGGGTTAACTCGTTTTCGAAGGATTTAGCCTTTGAGCATGTGAAGTGATATTTTTAGATGAATAAAAAAATTTACAATTTCTATGAGAAAGTAATAATTTGAGTTTCAGACCATCAAAAACAGTTTAAACTAAAGTCAGATAGTACTTCTTAATTTTAAAATGTAGTTTATTTGAGGCTTGCGAACGTTTGGTAAATACTTACTTAAAGTCAATGCAGCTAGAGTATACAAAAAAGGTGTAACATTAAACAGGAAAAAAATTGAAAACTGAATGTCCAAGATGTTGAAAAATTATGAACATTTTCAGTGCTGATAATTGTGGTTAATTTTACATACCACGATGTATGCATGCACAGAATGAGAAATTAACGTTTTTTGTCCACGTTAATTCACATTTCCAGTTGACAGAAAAACTGGAGCCTGCTTACGTCAAATCGCGCATTGAGATGATTTCGGCGTACTTTCATAATGGAAAAATATTCCTGTGAGCTAACTTTTTTTAAGAACAATTAAAAATACCTTGTATCAGAGGAGGGAAAGCTTGTGTGTGAAACCAAGCCCTATTTATTTGCCGGACGTGTTGGTTGATTTCAATGTCTAATTTAGTCTACGTTGGTTATGTTCTTTTCGCGAGCGGGAAGTTTGAATTTACTATTCATAATGTAAACTACGCACTTTTATTTCTCTATAATGAGTTAATTTTGGATTTTTACAATATGCTCAACGTGTTTTGTTTGACATTTTAATGAGATAACACTACTGTAAAATGCATTCCTTACTGGGTCTAGAGGCCCATTCCGAGAGTGAAATGTTAGTCTAAAAATTTGAAACCCACTGAAAAAGTCTTATCACAAAATGTGTGTTTTTCAGGTATCTGGTTCAAAAATTTGGCAAATGGAAAGATCATGCATGTGTTGTCAAGAAAGTGGGGAAAGGGAAGCGAGTGTCTCATTATTCTGCCCCAAAGCAAGACCGGGAGAGAAGAAATTCAGAAAGGTAAGATCCGTAGTTTTTTTTTGATTGATTTTTTGTCAATTTTATCTACGGTTGTGGTGGAAATTCTTACCTCTTTAGAATTATTAAGGTTTTATCACAAGTGTATGGGCTTTTCTCGTCAACAAATTACCAAAACTGTGAGTTCTAAAACTCATAGGCCCTAATAATATCATGCATAGCTCGTAAGATTTCGGACTTCCACCTTTCTTGAATGCACTGTTAGAAATCTTGGAGTGAAATCAAGAGTGCGGATAATCCCAGAGCTTATTTGACTTGCAGAAAAGTTGAAAGATATGATTAGAGAGTGAGAAATCAGCTTTTCGAAGCGAAGCGGAAAGCATTGCTGTGGAATGAAGTTCATGCCACAAAAGAGAGTTGATTCCGCTCGTACTTACAGAGAAAAATTCACTCTTCATTCATGTCACTGGAGTATTTTTGGAGCAAAATAGGTTCCACAGTCAAGAGCACTGCAAATTTCACGCCGAAATTTTAATAGTGTGAAAGTGACGAATGTTAAAGTAAAATACATAGTTTAACTACGTTTGAACAGTCATAAAGTTGTTAGACATTAATAAAAATGAATTTTTATGAATTTTCTCATGAATTTTTGGAGTTCCGTCCCTTTTTGCGTGTCTCGCTTCGACAGTTGGACTGCATTTTGCAATTTGGACCTATTAATTCTGGCTCATCCAGAAAAACACTTATGTGCATAGGGAAACTAATGGCACATACGTTTTTTTTAAACCGGGCCGGAATTTATAGGTCCAAATTGCAAAATGCAGTCCAGTTCTTCCTTCTTCTCATCCAATATTTCATGGAGATATTTATTTGTAGAGAATCTCCTCAGTTTTAAAAATTTGATGTGAATCAAAAATGATTTCAGGTGACAACTAAGGCTCCTTTGGAATGTATGTGCCGACCCTGCACTAGCATCGAGGAGAGCTCTGTTGTGCCTCAAGAGATCGTCAACTATGCCGGGGAGCAGCCTATAAGCGGTCATTTTGCCAAGCCAGAATAGTTTAGCGCTTTATTCTATTGCCATTCTAACTTACTTGTGTAAAAAAGTACAACGTCAATCATTATTTTCCTGTCTTTTTTTATATGTTTTATAAGGAAATCAATGGCCCGAATCCAATTTTTTCTTCAAATTAAGTACCCCTCTTAGATTTTCATTAAGTTTCAATAAAATTCCTTTTATCTTCTTTTGGTTGCTTATTTCACAAAAGACACACAAAAAAAGTATTGAATTTTTATTTTACAGTTGTTATCCTCCCTCTGCGTACGCACTCATATTTTAGTTTGCCTCAAGGACACAGCCGCAAAAAAGTAATAATATTTTAGGGGATGTGAGGGGGTACAAGGTAAATGGAGTCAGCGAGCCTAAATTATCCAATATGTACTTTTGGGATATCTTTAATGACCTCAATAAAATAACACACTCCGTGAACAGGGTCATGCACACTATTAAAAATTTATTCGATCATGATTGATTCCGTTGAAAAAGTTAAGAAATACTTGAAACAGATTATAAATAATTTTAATTAAATTTAATAATGCTGCGGATTTGTAAACGTAACTTCAATGGTTATTTATTTATTTATTCATATATTTACATGGATGAGATACAATTTAAGTCATTTCACACGATGAATATGAGAGGTATATAATTTACAATATTTAAATTCAATGCGATAACCTGACTATATTCAGAAACAAATATTAAATGTATTTACAGATTTCGTAAATTAAAGCTTAAAAAATACTATGATGACTACCATCATTAAGAAGAACCTACATTTAAAGTGAATGTTTGAAACGTATTGTTTGAAGATATATTATTTTAGTACAGTAAACTTTTACTAACAAAAAATTCAACAAAATTGATAATATTAAAAAAATGAAACTGAGAATTAATCAGTTGCGTCTGTACCTACTTATTCGTCCTGAAATAATAATTTATGGGGGAAAAATTAATACTGGGCTGGCTTTATTCTTAAATACACCTATATTCTAGTTTGCAGAATATTATTTTGAAGAATTGAAGGCTAACCAGTCTGATGTCTACCCAGTGAAACAGCATGTTTCATTGACGTATCCAAGCAGGAATATAGAGGTAACGTTTTCGTACCTCGCAATTCTCATTTTGTCCATGTAAAACGTCACTTTCTCAATGTTTAAGAAATTTCTGGGCTTCTTGACCTGAAGAAAATCCATGAAAAATATACAGTCATGAAGTTCCCTAAGGAAAATTTCTGCATAACTTTGTTCTCACTGCAGCCTCCCGAAAAACTTTCCAAAATCGAATAGTCTTAACACTTTTTGATTTTATTTACACATTTTATTTAAGTAAATTAAAAGGACATATGTGCAAAAAGTTTACGTGCTACATAATTCCGTTAATTTTTGTTCATTTGCACAAAGTTCTTTTCATCACAAATACGTCCGAATGAGATGTGCCCAAACGTTAAATCTTTTCGTTACTGAAATCAAGAGAGGGACTTGGCTGTTAAGGAGCGTACGTGCAGTTTTTGCTATCTTGAGAAATAGGTGTTTGAAGTTTCGAAATTACATGAATTCTCATGGTGGAAAGAAAGATCAAACTAACTGTTTGATGATTAAAAATTGGAATTCGGCATCAAATTATCTACAGGACATGCATAAGGACTAGCTTCACTTGAAATCATGAATATCTCAATTTTTCAAAAGCTGCACTTATGCGCCTTGTCATCCAGGCTCTTAAAACAGAGATTTCGCCCATAAATACCTACGGCGACAGCATACAATGCGTCGCTCCTCTGACGTAAGGGCGTACCTAGATTTTCACGTTAGCCCTGTTCTCCGTATAACTCTACGCTTTCCGTGGCTCATGTGAAAATAGAGATACGTCTTTACGTCCCTGGTAAAAATTGGCAGTAGAATCTGAGTTCCAAAATACCATAAACCTACGGCCGGCTGTAAGATTTCCAATAGCTTCTATAGCCGGCTACACAATCTCTTATAGCCTTTTATAGCCGATGACGATTAAGCAACTCACAGCCAGGCGATAAAGTGTATGCTAAACGTCACTAATTACGGATGCTAGGACTTAGTGAGTTTTTGGACCACTGCTCTCTTTTTGGGCCGTAGTATCTTGATTTATTTTCCGAGGAAAGCTCCGTACTTTTGATGGATGCCTGCTATTCCTAATATATTAGAGCGCCTTCAGTTTCGTATGATACTGTGCAATACCTCTGGTGTAAAATAGTTGCTTCAAGCGCCGTGGCACGCTGCGGTGCGGCAGGCGGACAGCCAGCGCTAAACGCGCATTGGCGCCTACAAACCTAACAGGGATACTTCACACGTTGCGCAATGCATGAAGTATCCCTGTTAGGTTCGTAGGCGCCAGTGCCTCGCCGCTCCGCTTTGTGTTATAGGCTCTAATATTTAATCTGGCGGAGTCAGCGTTATTCAACTCATGATTTTGAAATGTTTGCACATCCTGTATGGATTATTCTCGTTTTAATTGATGAAAAAAAAAATATGTATTAAAGGAAAATATAACGTGTGTTTTGTAAATATTAAAGTGGTTCCATATCAAACTTAATGATTTCCAAAGCACACGAATTCCTACACAATTTCTTATAGCCTTTTATAATCGATGACAAAAAAGCAACAGCCAGGCGATAAAGTGTAAAGCCCGGCGACAGGAACTATAGCCCGGCTATATAATTTTTTATCGCTTCGTGTAGCCCAGCTGTATGATTTTCTCAGCATTCTACAGCCAGCTATATGATTTTCTGTAGCCTTCTTTAGCCGGCTATAAGAATTCCTATAGTATTTTGAAACGCAGCTCTTATCGCCAATTTTTACCAGGGGTCAGAAGAGCGACGAATGCTGCCGTGCTAAAGAAGAACGCCGTTTGAACATTCGAGAGTTGTCAAAGTTCCTTCAATAAAATGTTTATTTTTTAGAAAATTTATGAATATTTTTCCTTGAAATTTTCAGGATCTTAAGGTGAAATTGCAAACGATAATATCTGAAAAATTAGAAGAAAAATATTCATAAGTTTACCAGGAAATTCGTATTTCACCATCGGAAATTTGGCAACGCCTGAAGGTTCATACGGCGTTTTTCCTCAGAACGGCAGAATGGTAGTGCATATCAAGACCTCCATCACCGTACCTTCACTGGTGATGTATGTGGAGTAACCCACCGTTGTGGATGACACCACCAACGGTAATATTTGGAGGGATCTTAAAACCGTACCCATTGTCGATTTCTAAACAGCTCTTTTTCTGAAGGAGGCCTCTCAACCCAAGTAAAAGTGAGTCAGCTTAACGTCGGGCTGATTCACTTATACCAGAAAAATGGTATACATCGTGACTAGGGAAGTATAAGGGCGTTTTTATATATGCCATGATAAAAAGGATACTGCTATAAAATTAGGTAAAATTCACCAGTTTTATTTCGAAAGTAGACGATTTACTTCGATTGACGATATAAAAGTAGGACATTTTTTTATGATTTTGACCAACTCTTAGCTAGATAAAGACCTCCCTTAAAATTTGCAAAACCTCCAATATATTTTCTTTTGCATTTTGTACGTTTTGCAGTTACAAATTAATTCAATCTCTTGTTAGGACTCATTCTCTAGGTTAAACTATTTGATTTTACTGGAGACAAAAATTTCTGCAAAAATTATTCTCCGTGTAATGCTACTTTAAAGGCGTTCTTAAACTCCCGTTAGTCAAAATTTGAACCATTCAGGACCTCTCCGAGGGAAGGACCACGGTTAGAACCAGGAACTATTTGTGGAAGGACCAGAGGAGCATCTCCTCAAGGGGGGTCTATTGGGCACTAAAAAACACCTCACCGATAAAAATTTGTGGGGCTCTCCCCTATCTAAAGGGGGATTTCCCTAATTGCAGAGGAAAGGTCCAAGGGAGCCTCTCCGAAAATAATGCGGTAAAAACAGTGCCGTCTCAGGTGCAATTTTAAGCAGTTTTCACCGAAGAATTGATCGAATTACAATGAAAAACATGAAGGATATGTCACCCACTTATTTCGAAAAATGCATCACATTTCTTGGGAGGGGCCGAGCAGACTTCTGGGTGGGAGCGGACTCCCACGTAGAAATCCCTTAGTTTACTCGCCCATGTTCATTCATCGAAGCAAGATTCAAGGATTAGTAGGGTGCGGGTTGATTGCTGAAATTGATAGACAATGCTATAGACAAAGAAACCAAATGGGATATGGAGGGACCCTATCGGTGGAATCAAGCGAGTGGTTGCAATTGGACAAAAGTGGTAGGCAATAGACTAATTAACAGCAACTCACGAGAGACCCTCTAGTTAGTCCATCATTTTCTACCTAAAGGCCTAGACACACACGGTGATTAATCGCCGCGAGTGAAAGACGAAAGCCAATGGAGAGCTTTGATTTCGATATATCGACGTCAATGGATCGAAATCAAGGCTCGACTTGATCATGGATCATGGACTTGATCATGGATGAATCATGGATCGAAATCAAAGCTCCATTGACGTCGATATATCGACGTCAATGGATCGAAATCAAGGCTCTCCATTGGCTTTCGTCATTCACTCGCGGTGATTAATCGCCGTGTGTATCTAGGCCTTTAGTCTACACCTAAATTAACCGATAGGATCGCTCCATACTCATAAAGTCCTCTTTGTCTATCGCTTTGTATATCAATTTCAACAATCAGCCCGCTGAGCCATTTGCTTATTGTCTAAGTCAGGTACCGGTTTTCAAATGTTCTCACCATTGTCCAATGGCGAGACCCGTCGGAGGTTGAGGTGGGCGTGAGGATGAGAGGGGGTGTGAGGAGGGGGGAGACTAGTTCAGGTGCAGACGTCCTGCTCCGTCTGGAAGATGATGTTCATGCCGGCGAGGACGGTGACGGCGATGAAGGTGGTGTACATGACGAGGCAGATGACGCCGAAGACGCGGTTCATGCGGTGGCCGTTGAGGAGGGCGGCGACGATGAGGACGACGACGCTGATGATGAGGCAGCCGCAGTTGAAGGTGAGGCCCGGCGAGTCCATGGGGATCGGGCCGCCGCCCATCGTGGCCGGCAGGAGGGTCTTGATGAACCACGGCAGGCCCAGGCATAGGAGGATGTCCAGCGTGTTGGCCCCCAGCGCGTTGCTTAGGCTCATCGAGCCCACCCCTGGAAAATAAACGCAATGTTGCATCTCTGCCGGATCTCGATGACACACGGTGGATGGAGTCAATAAGAGAGTTCGGACAAAATTTTGAAGCTTTAAAAGATCGAAACCTCGTTTATACGAAACTGTGAGGTTTTGAAAGTGGTTCAATGGAGATGTTGCATGTGTGAGGAATTTGCGATTTGACTGTTGATTACAATGTAAAAGTTTGCGAGAAACACGATGGTGCCACTGGTTTTCTCTGAAATCGACTCCCAAGCTCAAAAAAAGCTCCCAAGTTGAAGCCAAAATGGAGGGGATATCCCACGCTATCCTGAGAGTCCACGTCTACATCAAGACAAACTCTCCGTGCAAAGATAGGGAGCAAATACATTGACAGGGTTGCCGTGATTTCAGCCTTAGAGTCCCCGAATAAGGTGGCAGCCCTGTCAATGTATTTGCTCCCTATCTTTGCATGGAGAGTTTGTCTTGATGTAGAGGTGGACTCTCATGGATAGCGTAGGATATCCCCTCCATTTTGGCCTCAACTTGAGAGCTTTTTTTGAGCTTGGGAGTCGATTTCAGAGAAAACCAGTGGCACCATCGTGTTTCTTGCGAACTTTTACATAAGAATCAATGTTCAAATTGCAAATTCCTCACACATGCAACATCATTTTATCGTGAAATTTTCTTTTAGACGCGCCCCTTAAAATTTGACAGGTGATGAAATAAACATAAAATGTTTGCAGTTCTTGTCAAAAACTTCATGTCCGACCTCTCTATTTGAGTCGACCCCCTGTGTGGCATCCCTGCGGGTCGATTGTTGAATCGTTATCGAATGACCTTGATCGATATAAAGCATTGTGAAGATAGGGAGTTATCGATCGAATTCATTCGATAAACGATTCGACAATCGAGACGCTGGTAAAGTCAACTGATACGATATCATACATTCATGCTAAATCAGTATAATATTGTGCCAAATCAGTATGATATCATGCCGACAGAACATGATATCAGTACAATAACATGTACAGTATGATATCAGTATGTACAACATAGTATAGAATGTAGAAAGAGCAGGCCCATCCTGCTCATTGAGAGCTGCTCTGTGCTCTGGAAAATCCTGAATGCAATTAATAATTTATTGTTAGCTTGAAAAAATAAATAAAAAATAAAAAAAAAATGATTATTAAGGAGCTTGCTGCGAGCACCCTGTTTATCGATCCTTTTCCATAGGTTTAAATGGCCGATCAATCCATTCATCGCAAAGCACGCCATGCCACTGGTTTCGATTCGCCTAATGATACTAATGATAGAAAAGCTTAGCGATTGGTTCAGCTGAGTTAACAGCTCTCTGTGCCCTCATAAGAATTAACTCGGCGAACACAGTAACAAGGAAAAAAATATGAATGAGTGTGCTTAGAAACGTGAATTGAGATTCTTAACACAAATTAAATCTCTGAAAATTACGTAGGGTTCAATGATATACAGGCGAAACTTAAGTTCGTATATGATTGTTTATCATACTACAATACTGACCTAACAGGAAAAAAGAGGTGTTTCCTACAACTCTTATGATATGTTCTCGAGGAACAAAAGAAACGTGTAGTCAAGGAATTGCAAGTATTAATTTTTGAATACTTTACATTCAAATTAAATCTGAAGGATCAGAGATTTCTCCGTGATTGGTAATCCGCGGCATTCTCAAATTGAGACAAAGGTAGTAAGTTTGTAACTAAGTTCTTGACTTAAATTTTTAATCCAATTGTCCATCAATGTATGCTGGAGCACTGTTAAGACACGTGCGAGTTAGCCTGTGGCTGCCATTTCGTCGCTCCTCTGACGTAAGGGTGTATCTCGATTTTCGCATGACCCCTGGAAAATATGGATTTAGACGCAAAACAAGGCCCATGCAGAAATCGATTTACACCCTTACGTCAGATGATTTGTAGTATTATGTGACACAGATTTTTGTAACATGTTTTCACTGAAAGTGTAGACCGTGATAGACAATGCGTAAATCTGGGTCTTTCATGCAATCTCAATCTCATAAGCTCCTGTTTAAATCCTCATAAAAGGGAAATAAGACAAACAAACATTTTTCTTTTCCTCGGACTAAATTATGAAAAAAATTGTTTTTTCAGGTTTTTTTTTCTGAAAAATTACTGATATCAAATTTTTCTTCATTCACATGCAGTATGAGATACAATCTTTTCAAACCACAATGAAACCTAATAAGAAAAAAAAATACACTGAGTAACCAATTATGTTGGTTCTCGATCATTAATATTTTATGTTTTACCTATGACTGCTGAAATAGGGTATACTGGGTGCAATGGGTAATATTTATCATTATTTTTAGAGGTATTTGTAAGTATATCTTGGTACCGCATGACAATTTTATACCAGCTTCTGAGACGCGCTTCGGTATATTTTTGCTATGGCATGTACCAGAACACTAAAAAACCAAGTTTCTTATGCCGTTTGCCCACTCACCAAGTGGCGGCAAAACTGTTGATGGCCTTAAGATATTAAAAAAATTACCGTGAGTACTGAAAACACTTCGTAAATCATCATTTTAAATTAATATTTCCGCTTTATTTAATTTTTTCCCAGCTCAGTCGCTAGTATGTACAAAGACTGCATTATTAAACAATTCAATTACATTCCGCTATTATGAACATTCACTTTGAAGTTGAACATGAAAAACAACATACCAAAAGTTTATTCGAGAAAGAGATGACGAATTTGAAACGTAAGGTCCGAGTGGCAAAAATCAAAGAATTTGAGAGTATACTATGTGTTCCGAGGAGAGTGGATCAAAATATACTAAAAAACACAACTTTATTCGAACCAAGTAGAATGAAGCTTTCGGATAAAGTAGCTGCTTACGAAAAGTTATGCATAGAAACAAATCATTTCTTGGCATCTGAGGATCGAAAATAGGAACTAAAATACGATCATTAGATCCAATTTATCAAGAAATTCCGAGAAACGGGCTGAGAGAGGGATGTATAACGCGATGTGGGAAGAAATGAAAGATTGAAGATAATCATCTTACCATTCCTTGCATTAATTACACTAGATACAGCCTCTGGCATACTTCCACCTATCGCTAGGAACGTGATACCCATAACTGCGTCACTTATTCTAAATGTATCACCTGAAAAAGTAGAAGTACAAACATGTTTAAAGGAATCGCAATGAAACCTATTGAAAGGATATGGGATTTTGGCGGCTGGGTGTCACAAAGAATCAAAAAGAGCTCTATGAAAAAGGCTTTAATGCATGTATTTATGTAAAAAGTTAAATTTGTTCTGAGGGAGGGGGAGAAAATAAAATAAAACAATAAATGAATTCAACAAGGTTCTTGTTGATACACAGTGCCATTTAATTTTTCAATCATCTTTTTTCCCCCTTATTTTCTATTGTTATTTTCTTTAGTAGTAAACTCTTAAAGTAAGCATGCTAAAGATAATCGATAATTTACAATCCAATGATTTCTTTATTTCACCTAGAATTGATTACAGATTTGTTCTCCACAGTCAAGGAGCATCTCACGTCAAGCCTCTTTGGGATTTGAGCCAATTTCGGGTACGTCGCGAATAAAATCAAAACTCGATTACCTTAAAATCCACACCGACGGATGAAATTTAATCATTCTAGCGTTTCCTAACGGCTCTTCCTACTGAATGCGAGAAAATATACTTTATGAATGTTCGAAAAGCGGCGAATTCTGCACGGCAATTTATGATACAACTATTCTAACTTTGGTGTGAGCGGTGAAGTATCGCGCGAAACTGAAGGCGTTTTTGACTGGTGACAACAGTCTGGCGCAGCTCAGAAAGTCACAACAACACGTGCCTGGTATACGGATCGTATAGTCCTGCATCTTCCCCGTATTTCTTTGAAGGCGAGTCAGGATCCCAAAGATACAATACATTTGAAAGAACATTAGCAACTATGTTGATTCGTTCAGATCTCTGATAAGTATCTCTGTTAAGGATGTTTGTTTCTATTCTCGAGATTTCTATTCGCGAGTAATAAACAGATAGAGAATATCTTTATTCTCCAAAAAAAAATCAATCAGAACCATTCTGAAACTGAAGCAAGATACATCATGCAGAGAACACTTCATAAAAAATGAGATATTAACATTACCGGCCAAAATAATTATGAGTCACTTAAAATTACTGGTTAAAAGGCTGAAGGGAGATAAGGCAGAGACACATGGGTATGGCACAAGATATCACCAATTTAGCAGTTTATCAAAGAACGACGCATATCTAACAAAGGCATGGAAATTCTTTGATAAATTGCCAAATATTATACAGGAAAGCATATATAGTCCAACATTCGATAAGCTGGCCACAAGGCATTTGATTGCAAAATGCCCGTACTCAATCAATGAATTTTTGAATGTCAATGAATGAATTTAAGACGATTTGTATGTAAATATGTTTATACCTATCAGTACCTTTATTTAGAAAATGACGTTTTTGTGAAGCCAAATGTGCAAAAAGCAAAAGAATAAATAAAATAAAAAATAAAAAATAAATAAAAAAGTGAGACAGATCCGCTCGAAGAATGCAAACTTTCTTCGCGTAGATTTGAGATGCTTTAGCTACTTCTAATCATACTTTTAGGTTGAGAGACTCACCAAAAATAGTCATCATCCAGGAGACGATGTATGAGCTGATGCCAATCCAAAAGATGCACATCAAGAAGGTGAGAGGGTATACTGTGCGGTTTTTCCGGCAATCTGGCACAGACACCGACAGAACGCACGCAACAGGAAGCGAAAATAACCACCATAAGCTCAGCAGACACCCGTTCGGACGACTGCATACTGGTGTTACTAAAAATAGTGTTCATACAACAGGAATTAGAGAATGTTATAAACTTTAATGAAAATTGATTGCCTACCTGCTAGCTGATAATTTTACAGGAAGTAAAAAACAATTTAGAAGTTTTGTGATTTCGATGTTAAATTTCCAATTTTTTTAATCACTGCAGCGTTATATCAGAGCTCCAATGCAAAGCTACACTTTAGGAGCAGTATTCACTTGGAATTTTAGACTATAATAGACAGATTATCTGACAACGTTGTGACTGAAACAGCGAGTCCCCTCCGGTGTTGCGATCAGTTGATTTATTAGGTTTGCTAATATTATTGAAAGTTTTTGCTCCTCATTTATTTTCGATGCGTGAAAATTACGTAATGCCTCGATTTTGCGTTCACGCCTATGTCCGAATAAAGCGGTCACCCTAAATTTTGTACAAGACGCTCAGAATCCTCAGGAAAATATTCTCCAAAAACAGTGACACGAGCTAAATCAATGTCTTGTCGTGTTGCCGTAGAAGTCACGAGACTGTGTGGTCCGTAGAGTGGTCTAAGCTGAGAGGAGCCTGAATTCTTGAAGGGGAAAAAGCTATCACTTTCGCCCACTAACTTGTTCGAATGTTGTTTTTTCTATCAGACGTTGATTTCATACGTTTAAAAAATGGAGGATAAAACTTTGACGGGCTCCAGGAAGTCCCGCTCAGAAACAGCATGTCAATTTCATCTTTTTTAATAGATGAATGTCATTTTTCATAAGTGTAAAATAAAGGAGTAAAGTGGAAAAAAGTGAGCAACATTTATGGAGACATTTAACTAGGAATAAAAAAAAAAATAAAAAACCCTGAGCAACATAATTGGGCGAGGCAAACTTAGAGGTCAAAGCTACACTTTTCGCCAAGTGACGATAAATGAACACTTTGGTGAACATAAAATTCGTCAAATGATGATTGATGAATTTTGAGGTGAGCTTCTTGCCAGTCGAGCTTTATTCCCTTTTTCACATTTTTTGAAGTGCGAGAGATGTATAAAACTGGTAAGGAGGTAGTGTTATGCATACCCCAGCTATAAAACAAGTATGCAAAATTTTGTACGAATCAAGAAATCCTGTCAAGTATGGTCAGATGTTCAAGAATTTGCCTACCCGTGAAAATTGAAGGCGTCTAGTCAATCATGCTTATCCTGTATGAATGGCAAGGGGCCGAATTTTGTCGGCCCCACCACCAATACTAAAATATACTTAGGATCAGTGTCGGTTGCAGTAAAGTCGCCTTAGTGGCTCTGATTAGCCGATGGTGCGGTTTCGTTGACGGATATTACAATTAATGCATCTTTGTGTAAAAGTCCCGAGAGTATTCGGGTCTAGGAATCAAGTTTTGCTGCGCACATTATTGGTACTTGAAACAAATAATACGAATAGTTTGCTGAATGTGTCTCCTTACCTTCCTCCTGTTCTGCCTCTTGCTTCTTTTCGATATCGTTCGACGTATTGTGCGTGCTACTTATGTTGTTGTTGTTGTGGTTGTGCTTCTTTTCGGCAGGCATAACCCAATCGGAAAAGTAGTAAGGCCTGTACGTCCCATAATCAAGGACACTTGTCGTCGTTGATTGGAGTGACGCCTCTGAAAGCAGTCGAAACTATTTAAAGCCAGTTAGCCGCACGCACTATCACTTGTGTTTCACCGTTTCCCAAAAATCACATTTACAAGAAAAGAGTGAAATAAGAGATAGAAAAAGAGATTCGCCGTGACGTCACACATGCACTGGACCGAGTCAATAGATGTCGGACAAAATCTGGAAACTTTGAAGTTTGTATTTTCGAAAATATGAAGCCAAAAAATTAAAAAGTGGTTCAATTGGATTTTTCATGACATTTCCTTTTAGAGACACCCCTTGAAATTGAATTTGTGACGAAATCAACATCAAATTTTGAAATTTTAGCCAAAAATTTCATGCCCGACCTCTTATATTAGCTCGATCCACTGTGCGTCGGTGGGTAAAATCGTAGGCGGACCAAAGGGGGGGGGGCGTAGGGGGCGTACAGAAATCGCCCGAAAAATAGGAGAAAGAAAACGAGAAGGATGAAAGAAGGAAGGAACATAGTAAAGATGAGGGAAAGACGCTTACATTTGGTAATTATTCATGACGAGATTAATTTAAATTGCGTAAAAGATGTTTCAAAAATTCCTATGGGTACATGCGGGCGTCGATATTCCTACAAAATCTGAAATTTAAAGTATAGAAAATGATTGACGTCCTTTTTTTGGCGTAATTTAACGTAGAGTATCATTTTAAGTATTTTTGAAGTATGACTTTTGTATAAACTCGTGGAAAATTGATGACAAAAATGCTTTGTACCCACCTATGCCAGAAATACATCTCCTCTTTTTTTCCTAATGGACAAAAATCATTCTAAAATAATGTTTTTGAAACTATGAGTCTGATGCAGCCTTACAGCGACATAATATTATGCCTCTCTTACTTGGTGTTCTGAGGCAAAAAGATACTTTAATCACATTTTTGGAAAATAAAGGTATTGGTGTTTTGAAGATTTCCAAGTCTTCATTCCTTTAAAATATTTGGCCGCCTCATTCAAAGCAAATGAAGCCGATTTGCGGTTTTCACTTAATATCTGGCATGTATGTACAGTATGCAGTGAAGCGTGAGATGTCTTATCATGAGTGGCAAATTTGTTGCGTGCGCTTGAATTGAAGGCGCTTGGCACACTTTAACCAAGCACCAAATCAAAAATGGTAAGAAAAATTGAGATAGTAAATTAAAACTTACGGGAGTTGAAACTATTTTTGCTCCGAAGCATCTTCTTTGCCCTGTTGTGCAACCACTTCTGGGTGAACATTAGGATGAAGTAGGCAAAGTAAAGAATCAGGAGAAAGAGAGCTTCGTACCATTGGACAAGGCCATCGTGGAGGATTACAAGGAGTACTGCCACTGCCAACATATAGCCACCTCCGTCTCGTATCAGAGGCCATCTTTCCAGATCTATATCCTATGAAAAACAAGAAAATGACAATCATTGAAGAGTTATAGAGTAATAGAAAATTCAGCAGATTCATTTTTTTTTTTGGTTTTTTTTTTTTTTTTTTATGAACACAGCGTTTTGACCGGAAAAAATTGACTTATTTCAAGCTGTAAATATAGTGCAATCCATCATGCCTTTGCTTCCGTGTTCATCGAACATTTTCGCCAAATATTCCGAAATTTACGTACATTTAACGTCAATTCAGTCGAACTTGTTCTCCGAACATCCCAGGGCTAGCGACACTAATATTGTGCATGGCAACGCAGGTGTCCATCTTCGGAGCAAAAATTTTAAGTGCAGTTTCAGTGACGGCCCAATAAAGGCCTAAGTCTGGGCTTTGGCTTACTGACCCTCACCGGCCAAGCACTGGTACATCTGTCGCGTTTAGGCGTAAATTACTTATTGCTTGTCCCCCCCCGGCCCCTCCCCTTCCTTTTGCAGCTCGGTTACAAAAATGGACTCGGGGTACCCTGAACACGTAGAATCTACCAATTTCTCGAGTCGCTCGGCGCGTATCTCAATCCACTGGAAAGCTCTGTGATCGGATACGGTTGGAAACGAGATTCAGAAACAATTTAAAAAGAAAAATAATTCACAAAACGGGGGAATAAAGTGAGGAGTGCGACGGATTAAGGGCAGCCTGCAACGAGGATTTCATGGGACGCGTTTCTGATTCCATGGCACGGAGGGCTCTACGCTTAACTTCGGAGACTTTAACGCTTATAAAGAAAGATTAGCTAACTATATGTATTTAACTATATATGTTTCCTTCCTGGAATTGGACTACATTTTGCGATGAAAAACTGCTGTTTCTGGCTCATTTTCGAAACAACACACGTGCCATTCATGAATGTAGATAGGTGGTTTTATGTGTCAGCAAAAAATATTCATTCCTTATTGGCAAATTGATGAGGAAATAATGAAAGCCCAAAATTGTGAATCACATTCCTGACAATGAGAAATAAAAGAGTTTTTCCTCATCATCAAAAAATGGGTAAAATGAAGTTAGTCACTATGAACTAAAGAGCGATGGATGCATGCTACAATTGAAAATTAAAATCAGCACTGCATGACAAATAAAAATTAACTACTTGAAGAAGGAACATAGCCGGTTTAATTTATTTAGTTCTTTCGAGGTCAGTTAGTAATTTGGTTTAAACGTACAGGTATTTCTCCTAAGCAGCACAATGTGCTATTAGAAACAGTGAAATATTAAGCATCACAATGCTTACATTATTTCTTCGTCAACATTTCGTGGTAAAACATTGAACAATTTTCCAAATAGTTCAACTCATCGGTGAAATATGGGCATTTTCCGCATTTATCAATTAAGACTTTTTACTCGGTATAAAAAAAAAGTCTCAAGGATTAACCTAATTTTAGAGTTCTAGACAATGGAAAGATTTCTTCAGAATGTTAGATTCTTCCCCAAAAATATTACGAGCATCGTTTTCCAGAGGAGAAGAAAAAACTATTGTAACATCGAACACTTGTCTAATGATAAAATCTAGTCGTCTGGATAACCTGCGCAGGCATGCTCTTCATCTAACGGGACTAAAAGGTGTCGTCAAACATTATGTAGAGGATCGTTATCGTTTCTCATCAACGAACTGTCAAAGCGCTGACGGAAGGAACAACAATGAATGCTCGATGACTATATCCTTGTCACAACGCCGAAAAAATGAAGTAACACTGACTTTCCTAACATCAACCCCTGAATGCAACTATTAGTGCTCTAGGACTGACCGTGTTGCCTACTCAAAAAATGAAGGCGCCTGAAAGTGATGGATTTAAGAATGATCATGAGTATTATCCTTACTTTACTAGCGGCGAGGCCGGCACACGCTGCCACCCCGAGGGTGTTGAAAACCCCGCTGCCGACAATGGCACCCACACCGAGGTCCGTTTCTGTCACGAACGTTCCAATGATGTTGACGAACAGCTCCGGAAAACAGGTCGCTGTCGCCATGAAAGTAGCTCCGGCCACATCCGGAGATAGGTGGAGATCTGTGGACAAATTCAAATTAAAAGGTGAAAACCTTAAAATAAATTTAAAATATACCTTGAAAATATAATGAACTGACTCATTGCCTGAACAAAACGCTTTCTCTCTATTTATTGTTTCGTGGTTTTTTTTGGCGGGTACTTTAGAAAAAAGTGATTTGATTCGGGCAGAAATATTCTCGAGTTTACCGCCAAGAAGAAATCCCTTTTGAATTAAAAGGAGACTAGCTTTTATCAAGAGGACAGTCGCATAAATCAAGCAGATATCTGCTCGATATCAGAGAGTTTCCTTTCGATTTAAGAGAAAGTCTTTTTGACGGTTGACTCAAGCCTTTTTTCCCGGTGTAGGTCATAGTCATAGAAGTAATAAAAGAAGATATTGAATAACGTTTTGGAGAAAAGTATAAGAATTTACGAGAAACCTTCGGAAAAAAATTAAAAATTAAGGAAAAAAGAGGAGAAAAATGGATCTTCATAGAAAATGAAAAGAATACTATACTGTTTCAGACATGACATCTGTATGATTCCGGACCAGTCTATCATATTTTACATCGGTATAGCAATTAATTCCCATTAAGGGCATTATAGGAGGTTATGCTGTTGTCTATTTATCCGGATGGATAGGTACACCAAGATTTTATTATCTAACGTTACTTTGTACATTTAATTAGATTAATTTAGTTATTTAAATCATGTATATAGATCCAAGACATGTTCTTGTAGTCGTTCCGTTTTACTGAAATAAAATTTATTTAAGAAGAGGAAGAAAAAAAGAAGGTTAACCAAAAACTACTTCAGTAAGTAGAGTGATAATATTGACTTGGATCTAAATAGAAATAAAATCTCTTCAGATAGGTTTTAAGTAGTAAAGAATTGTCAGCGTGGAGTGAGATCTTAGGCTCAATAAATAGACTTAAATTAGATCTTACCTTGACAGATACAGTAGACAGAGGGAAGAAAATAGTCATTGCAAACAAAAGCAATGACCACAAAGAAGTAAAGTGCGATGCATAAATGGACGATAATGGCACCGTGCGCCCGTTGCTCTTCGGTGAAGACGTCAGGAGGAAATTGGTCGATTGATCTGTCTTCTGAACAGTTCATGACAGCTTGCGTTATCCTTTGATCCGCTGTGAACAAAAACCAATAAAAATCATTGATTTATGCGGCTGAAAATGTTTTTAATACATTGATGCAGTGATGCACTTTATAAATGTTGTAGGCTAATAGTAAAATCAGGCATTTATGAAATGCCGAGGCAGTCAGTCAAATGCTGGAGCAGATAGTCAAATTCTGGTGCAGATAGTCAAATGCCTAGACGGATGGTCAAATTTTAATAACCTGTCGCTTTTTGCATGATTTCGGTGAAGATTTTTTATGGTTTTAGTACTTGGAAAGGAAAAATTGATAAAAAATCCATTTTTGTACTTGATACGGCAAACTTCCTCACATCGTCACCTGCCGGCCAAATTATCAAAAGCTCCATACGACGTTTAGAAATTTCCGCCGCCATCTCATTTTTTTACAGAGAAATTGTTGGTTGAATATGTTTGAAAATTTCACTGAATTTTATCGGCAGCACAAAGAAAATTCAGTGAAATTTTCGGACAGCTTCGTTGGACGATTTCTCTGTAAAAAAATAAAACGGCGGCGGAAATTTTTAAACGTCGCATGGTGCTTGTGATACTTTGATCGTAAGATGACGACATAATTTTTACCGTCAAGCTTTTAAAGAATCTTTATTTTATAAGACACCTTGCGATATATGTTCACTCGATGATAAAAACTCTGAAAACAATAATCAATGGATGAAAAATTGAAAAAAAAAAACTTTTTCTACATACTTATGAAGCATTTTTTCATTAAAAATCGGGAAAATTATGAGAGGTTCGATCTAAGATAGAATTATTGATTATCATTTGACAAAATACCTGATTTAATTCTTAGCCTGCGACTGCAACATGTAGCTACTTAAGGTTTGATATTGGCGTTTATCTTTTGAAAAACATAAAGTAACTTGTTGCTGAGGAGTCGAGCACTTGAATCCTCCATCATTTTAAAATATGTAAGATTAAGAAATTGTAACTAGAGGCGTCTCGTGGTAAGCTTTTCCACTGCATTAACTTAGCGACTTGTTCTATTATTTGTTCCATGTCAATCGTATTCATTAGATGATTGACAGCGCATTGTTATAACACTCCTCTATAACCCAAGCGGCCTCCGGGTCACTCCTGAAGAATTTTGATCACCGTGACGCCATCTTCCCACAATTTGTAGCCGAGTAAAAATTATGGCTCGATGTAAAGTGGTACCGTAGATGATGAACGATCGATAAAAAATACCGGAAGACTTAATACATGCGCTTTTACGTTGTACGAAATAAAATATACAACGCAGCCCGTGACAATGGTCACGTGTTATGTCGTTTCTTCATGGTGTATTTTTTCGTTCCTGTCAAAGTTGCTATTTTTTGGCATGTGTGATCTACGCTCAGGGTGAATTTCAACTTGAATTGATACCATTAATAGAAAAGGCGGGAGTTTCCTTTAAAAAGAGTCATGTCACACAATGGACCACAGGACAATAAGGTGCAAATTTAAGCACTGAACATTAAGTCCAGTCTATATTAAGTCCACATGATTTAATGTCCAACTATGAATATGTCCAAAATTGTCCAAATTTTTTTCTTCTCATTTAAATGACAGGAACCACCTCAAAAATAAATGCATACTACTACTACCTCCAGTCTTAAAAACATTTTATTCATGAATCAAGCCATGAAAGAGAACAGACTCTAAGAGCAGATAAAAACATATGTTCATGTGTACACTGTACGGATATGATAAGATGAAAACCGAAGCGGGAGCCTAGGAAACGCTCCAATGCCAAATTAAATATTTTTCAGTAACAGATGCTGTCAAAATTGAAAATCCTCTTTAAGTAGTTATTTCTTGCGCCTTCAATCTTGTGGGATACTGTGCAATGCCTCTGACGCGAAATAGTTGCTTAAAGCGTTGCGACGCGGCAGGAAACCAGCGTGACACGCGCATAGGCGCCTACAAACCTAACGGGATACTTCACGCGTTGCGCAATGCGTGAAGTATCCCGTTAGGTTTGTAGGCGCCAGTGCGCGTTCTGCACTGCTAACACGCCGCTACGCTCTGTGTTAGGCTCTAATATTTAAACTCGCGGAGTCAGCGTTTTTCAACTCATGATTTTGAAATGTTTGCACTCTCTGTATTGATTATTCCCTTTTAAACTGATGAAAAAGAAATATGTACTACTGGAAAATATAATGTGTTTTTTGTAAATATAAGAGTAGTTCTGTGTCAAATTTAATGATTTCCAAAGCATTCAAATTAACTCTTTTATGTTTTGGGCTTTTACCGTGCTGCAGTGTGGTGTAAGCGCAACTAAACGCTCAAAATTGAACGTATTTGACTCAAGAGGGTAGATGTACAAATAAGTTAAAAACAAAAATTGCGTTCTTCTTAGTTTTTTTCCTCTTTTATTATTTGTTGTATAGTTTCTTCCATCACAACTACGGCTCATTGAGATTCATATCGATGCCATTGCTTGGAAAAGGTTTTACAAATATTTACCACGTATTAAAAATGTAAATGTTTTTAAAATGAAGTAATCAATTTCATTTAAAAAAAAAAAAAAAGAATGTACATTTAAGGCATATTTTATATCGGAAATTTCAAGGATAAAAATGAAACCAAGTATTTACCAAAGACAATTTGAAAAGATGAATCAAAACAAGAAATTAACATTTCATTTAAAATATGAGTTACGATAACAACACCTCATTCTATCTTAATTTTCTCATTTCGATATTGTCAATATAATTTTACACACGGACTAATAACGCTTGAATTTGATTTTAGTGGACTTTACATTCGTGGACTTAACTTAGTGGACGTTTAAGTAATGGACTTAACAATAGTGTGGGCTTTAGAACTGTGGACGTAAAAATTGTGGACGTAAAAAAAATGGACATAAAGTCCGTGTACCTCCTGGGCGTCTCGACACTTCTTGACAGTCTCAATTAAAGTTTAATTACCATTTTCACTTGACTTGGCAATACCGCGCAAGATGTGGGGTGCTATAAGCGTGGGTAGCCCGCGGCTTTTTACTCGCAATTCGTCAAGTACGCGCTTGTCCGCACAAACCGCGCCAAACTGGTTTGGCATCTTGACAGTGGCGCCACGCCGTTTCGAAGCATTCTCGATATGATTCCAATTGAACTTTCTTGGAGTGGGCGCTTTTCTTTAGCACAAGTCACGGCAACATTTCGTTTAGCGCCCTGTTGCCACTTCTGCCGTCTTAACAAAAATACCAGTATATCAATGGCCAAAAGGCGGAAGCTCGTATCTCTGTTTCCGACGTTGTAAACTTTCTGTCTTTCTTCATTTTTTCATTTGAAAACTATTTTTTGAAAACCGGAATTCCTTGAAACCTTCTTCAATTTTTCTTCTCTGTTAAGTAGTAGAATTCTTTGTATCAATTTCAAGCTGTAAAGCTGGCTTGTGCCTCTTTGACAAATTGAACTAGGAGTGGCAATTTTGAAACAATGCAATAGAGAACTTGGATTCGCACTTTAGCCATATTAGTACACACAAATGAAGTTTTAATTGAAAATATGGCTACCCTAAAAGCGTTTGATTGTGAGAGGAAAATTTTTATTGGATGAATTCTCCGTTTGTCGTTAAAATATCAATAATCAGTCTAATAAGAGTCAGGGACTCTTAGGAATTGGTCGAATTATTTAAAATTGACGAAATGTATCCCAGACCACGTATGAAAAGGACGGTACTTAAGCGCATAAGCACACCAAACCATTATGTCAGTCGGGAAAGTGACGATTTATTTCGACAATTTAGCGTTGCCCGTTTTGATCAAGTCTAAAAGAGATTTAGAACCTCATCGTCTATCTTGTGAAAAAATGAAGTGAGGATTTGTACGACTGTTGGCAACTACATTGTCTTACGAGCGTAACTGCGTAAGATCTGATCGGTTCGCGCGCGCTCCCAAACTGTGCACGGATGCCGCCACATGCGTTTAAATTACACCTGCTTTGCGATGAATCGTTCATCTGCCAATTAAATCTATGGGAAATGATCGATTATCAAGGTGGTGTTCGCAACGAACATTTTAATCGATTCTTTTCCATACTTTTAAATCGGTAGATATCGATCGGAATGTTTGCCACTAATCACCACGCATTCACTCTCGCATATCTGAGAAACTTCGATTGAATTTCCGATGAATTTTGAGACATAATAATGTCTAAAAGTAAGGACACCGAGAGCTGATATTCCTTTTTTGCTGATGGTATGAGAAGATCTTATCCCAGTGCAATAATTGCACTTTGCACCACCGTACGTCTCATTTAATAGGTANGGGGGGGGGGGTATTTGACTGCGAAACGGCCAGGGGGCTTTATCCCTGATCGTCTTTAAAAGAAAAAAAAAAGCTGCATGTATAGTCCAACATTTTAGTGTGCGTACTGTATAGTTTTTTGTCCCTCATAAATTGGTCCCCTCTGTGATGCTACTACCAATGATTCTCATTTCTGTTGAATGACAGTAAGATACCTGAAATAATATAATAAGCACTGATGCCATTAAAATAAAATATTCCTCAAACAAACTTAAAGTTTAGGGTGTGCTATTAGGGTACTAGAGCTTCACCAAAAATCATGAATCAACCAGACGAATTGCCAGTTCGAGAGAATACCCGGCCTGTCTAAGATATGATTTAAAATGTAACAGCGACGGGACAAAATGTGTTTCAGAAAGAAGGAATCGGAAGTAAGAAAACGCATGGGTGAACACGGATCGACGGAATTGTCTCACGGTCATTGGGAGTCGACTTGCGCATGTGAAACCAAAGCTCCCGGCCCGATGACATCTTTGCCGCGAGCTTTCAGCAGTGCATTCATTTCCAATCACACAAAATTGCAACGTAAAACCAATTTTATTCCCGAAGTTTTCGGTTGTTGTCATGATGAAATATCAGAGAGAATGGATTCGATCAACGTGATTCGATCGGGAAACTAGAACGTGAACAGATTTCAACAAGTCAATCGAAAAACCCGTGAATTAATCGACAACACTGTCAATCG